CTCGGGGTATGTAATGTGTCAATTGTTCCATGCCGTCACAATCACTAACAACACCAGCCTTCAACCACGACAACAGCACCGACGCTGAGGCGGAGTACGATCGGCTCCGCGACCTCGCGCGCCAGGAAGCCTCCAAGCGCGGACAATGTTTCAGCCGGGTATGTGACCACCACAATCCCAATCGCTCGATTACAATCGCAATCGCGATCGCAGTTTCAGTCATTTCATCACCGCTAACACTCACCAGTCCAAGGACGCCTACTCGAGCGGCGATGGCGCCGGCGCCAAGCAGCTCTCCGAGGAGGGAAAGGCACACGGCCGCAAGATGGAGGAGTACAACAGACAAGCGTCTGAGTTCATCTTCCGTGAGAATAACGCCAGCGGGCGTGTTGAGGCAGACACCATCGATTTGCACGGACAGTTCGTCGAGGAGGCTGAGGAGATCCTGGAAGAACGGATCAAGTACGCCAAGTCGCATGGGCAGAGCCACCTTCATGTGTAAGTGGCAAAACAAAACCTAGGGAGAACGCTATGCGATAGATTCAACACGACTAACACTGCTTCGCTCTCTAGTATCGTCGGCAAGGGAAACCACTCCGCGAACCATATCCAGAAGATCAAGCCGCGCGTCGAGGAGGTGTGTCGTGAGTTGGGACTGCAGTATGCCACTGAGGAAAACGCTGGTCGCATCTACGTGAACCTGACTGGTGGTGAGGCTGTCATGCCTCCCTCAACCGGCCACCAGGGCGGCTCGTCTGGGTACCCTGGCCACCAACAGGGATACCAGGGACACCAAGGACAACAGCAAGGACACCAGCAGCAACAGCATGGACAAGGACAAGGACAACAACAGCCGGACGAGCTCGAGGAGTTTGCCAAGAAGATGTTGCCCAAGGTTCTGCGCAAGCTCGAGAAGGCTTGCTGTGTTGTTATGTGAGCTTGTATTTTTGGTGTTTTGGACATATACATAGATGCATAGCTGTGTTTGTGGATACATGTTGTGTTTGATGTTCGTGACATTTTGCGCTTTTGGTTTCTCGTTTCTAGATCATCTACCATCCACATCAGTCCTCAAGTCTGGGTTCAGCCTCGACACGACTCACGGTGGCATGGATGCGGTTATACCCTTACATGAACATGCACATTGCCATTTACTTTGATGTTGTCAAGTACAGTTGTCCCAGCGATTTGCACTCCGGGAGCATATAAACATAAATCATATCATCGTAAAAGCTCATAGTTACATGGCCAACTTTATGAAAACAAGATAACTGGAACAGGGTATATCCAACAAAGACACGGCATATAAGAAATTATACCAAAAAAGACCCAAGAGAACAAATAAACAACTAGTGCGCATTGGAATCCGACAGTGTTGACTCCACGATCTTTTCCACAATAGCACGCACCATCTGCCCATCACCAGCTCCATTGATCTTCGGCGCAGCATCAATCTTCTCAATCAACGCAAACGCCTGATCTCGTAGATCTGCAACAACCCGACTGGTGTGTGCAAAGCTGCCCGTGTTCTTCATATACTGCACCGCATAGCGCTTAACCTCCGCATCCTTGGTATTTTGTTTGAGGATGTTAATCAGCTGGCGATTAGACGGGTTCGAGCGAATGCTGTGAATAATCGGGAAGGAGAATTTGCCCTCCGTGAGATCCTCACAGAATCCCTTATTCTCTGTGTACACTGTATTCGAAAGGTTGAGGTAATCGTCGCAGATCTGGAAAATCAAACCCATGACATTGACCAAGGCAACGCAGTCCTTGCCCGTTGTACTTTCCGCCTGCATGAGTTTCACGGCGAGCCGGAAGAGCCCACCCGTCTTGTTGCCCACCATTTCCAGGTACTCGTCTTCCGTGGGGCAAGTCAGCGTGTCGCGCCAGAAGAGATCCATTCCCTGGCCCCGGTGCAGATTCAGCATCTCCTGTACGTAGATGTCGATTGCGGTTGGGTTGTTGAGCTGCTGGACTTCTTGCAGCGCGAGGAAGTACACGTAATTTGCGGAGTTGATTGTCTGCGCTGTTCCGAAGATGTTGTGTGCGACGGGAATTCCGCGGCGGAGGACGGAGCTGTCTTCGACGTCATCGATTCTGGCGCCCACGCGGTCAGCATCAGGAAATGGGCTGGGCAAGATGAGGGAGGCGTTGGTGGGATTCAAACTTACAACAGTGATGATGTATGCAGCATCGTTACGACCTCGGTGATGATCGCCAGGCTAGCCGGCGGGACCTGCAGCCAAGCATTGAAGGCGTGGATCAGTTGCCGCCGAATATCTTTCCCTGGGTGCTCGGCCACGTAGTCATACGGACCCATGAGGATCTCGTCGTTCTTCGATGACCATGTTCCATCCTTGTACTTGGTGCCGTCCACGCTGGACTTGTTGCGACGATGTGTAGTTTTCGTTGGCTCTTCATCTGTCACCGACAGCTTGCTTCGGTGGGAGGGGCTCCCGTTGCCATTTGTTGCATTAGCTGAGCTTGTCCGAGGAGGAACAGGACTCGGTGGTTGAAAGGGGTTTGAATTCATGATTGTGGATGGGGAGATGGAGGGGTTTGGTGGGTGGCGGAAAGACGTGGGGAGCTAGGGAGCTCCGGGGCTACGTATAAATCCGGAGCTGTGCGATATGTACGGAGTACTCCGTATATAACATAGATGACTTCAACAGCATTTTTGCAAATTAGTTTTTATGTGTAAAATGGTATTATAGTTACTATATCGTAAAACACATTATGCAAGATGTACACGGAGTACATATTTGTATGTTGTAGAGCCCTGTATGATGGCCTGGGGATGTCGAGGTCCATGACTAATCGGAGCTGAGGCACCTGACACGTTGACAGGGATAGTTGTAGATTTGACAAATGAGATATGTCAAGTTGATTAACAAGAGGAAATATGATGATTTGATAGGTCATAAGGAGGTAGGGGCCAACAAAAGGATTCAATAATTATATACAGCATATACACAAGGTAATGTTTACTATAGCAACGGAAAACTATATCTAAAAAAGAGATTCAACATACGGTGTACGGAGTACACTATGTAAATATTCAAGGGCACCTATAATTAACATTAAAGTCGAACTTGATTGACGCCAGGGGTCGATCTAAAGTCAAGCTAAGAGTTCTCTAATGTGATGAGTTCCTTGGTTATTGGCCAGTTGTCCGGGGCAACCGCCTTTTATTTACTACGAAACCTTGGAAGGGCCCAACTGACCTCATCCACCCAAACCAGACAGACAACACAGACCTTCTCCACTTTCTTTTTTGACCTTTGGTTTAAGAATGTTCACTGCTTTTCTTTTTTCGGGTTGAATAGCTCACTTTTTTACTTCTGATTTATCAATGGAGGCTCTATTAGCCCATTCGTTCGATTACCTCTCCTCATACGAGCCTAGCAAGATCCGTAAAGGATTACGCCAGGTCGAGGGCCTACTGGCACAAATATGTCTATCGAAACCTAAGCCCGTCTCGGACCGGAGATCGCGCTCCCCCGATTCCCAGCCCGTGCCAAAGATGTTGTCCGAATTGCGAGATGATCCGGCCTTTCGAGAATTTTCCAAATTGCAAGAAAGCTTTCAATGGAACAGTATGTCTTTGAGAGTTCTATCGCGACTAGAGTCCGCGCGCTAACAATATGCTTCAGTCGCTATGCGCCTAGTATCCTGCCTCGAACACCTTCTAGGCCGAGGCAGCAACGGCACAAACGACATGTTGATCGTCTGCGCACTGGATCTAATCCAAGGCGCCCTCCTCCTCCATCGCGGCTCGCGCACCCTCTTCGCCCGCGAAATCTACATGAACCTCCTCCTCGACCTTCTCGACCCGATCAACTGCCCAGCCGTGCAATCAGCAACCCTTCTCACACTCGTCACAGCCCTACTGGACTGCCCATCAAACACACGCACATTCGAGGACCTAGATGGTCTCCTCACTGTCACATCGCTCTTCAAACAACGCGCCACGTCCCGTGAAGTCAAGCTCAAGCTTGTCGAGTTCCTCTACTTCTATCTGATGCCCGAGGCCATGACCCCGGCACCCATGTCTCCCCCGCCAGGTCTGCAGCGTAGCCCCAGCAAACTCTCCTCTGCTCCCTTCTCGCGCAGTGCGCACTCCGCCGCGGCAAATGCTGCGAGTAAAACGAACCGCGATATACGCACAACAGACGAGAAGCAGGCTCTTCTGGGGAGGTACCTCAATAATGTGGAGGACCTCGTGGAGGACCTGAAGGAGACGGCTCCGTTCGGAGCGACGGTTTACTGAATGACTTGATTGGTGATGATTGACTCACTCAATGCTTGATGACCAAATATGCGCGATGTCCGCTGCGATTATTTGGCGATTGTTTTTTTTCCTTCCTCTCTCTACGGAGTACCCCTTCTATCTTCCCTTCTCCCTACCTCTTTTCCTTTTCTTCACGAGCGTTTGACTTTTGTTCCGTCCGGTACGGCAATTATGCGATTCCCTGGACTGATGTCTACCTCCTTTGGCCTGTCTTCTGTGCTATTCTTTTTTTTACTCCAATCCTGGAACTTTGTCGACCTATCTAGTGTGCCCTCTCCTGGGGCTTTGTTTCCTTGTCATTTTCCTTGTCTCTTTAATGGTGACATGACTGTGTACGATTCCTCTCTGTGGCTAAACCAAACTGCTGTCATACTCTCCTGATGATCATCAATATTTCTTCGGAATCCTATCTCTCAATGTAGCTTTAGACTTGGTAGACTCGCTTTTAGGGGTATCAAGCTTCTCGGTTATCCTCGGTGTTATTTTTGATATCTCTCCAACTTTGTCCTAGTTTTATAGATTTGTAAATTGATAAATGAGTCAGCATTCATGTATCAGTCAATGTAGCACGGACTCTAATATAGTATATCCCAAGTCCGTTCAAAGTGGAGAAAGTCAAGAATTAGCGTGGAACACGAGATCTATATATCCCCGCAAACCCACTGAGCTCCATTGTCGTTCCACGGTACAACCACCTTTTTACAAAATGGCGCAAACAATCGAGGAACTGCTGGGCACAAAGCCTTCCGAACACTCACAGAAAACCCAATATATGGACACGGTAGAAGCATACGATAAATGGGCAGAGGTGAGTTCTGATATCCCATTTCATATTTCTCATACATCACATAGATCCTATTTGTTACATTCTATACACCCAGCGGTACAATGGAACAAATAAATACCCTTCATATGACTATTTCAACTGCATACACCATTTATATCATATGCCCCAAACTAACACGATACAGGTCTACGACACAGACGGGAACTTCCTCCAACGCCTCGACACAATCGAGATGCGCTCTCTATTACCCCAATTCATCGACCGGGTAAGCAAACGCTTCCAACAAAGCCTACCAGAGTCAGAGACAGAGACAACTCCGCCCAGTCTAGTAGATATAGGCTGCGGTACCGGCCGCAACACAATCCAGCTCCTCTCCGCGCTAAACACAGCCAACAAAGCCACTTCCTTCTCCGTAATCGGATTGGATGCCTCACGCGGCATGTTAGATGTAGCGCGGACTGCGACACGCGAGTATGCGGCTAAAAGCGCAACGAAGACGGACATTGAGCTCGGTATCCTTGACCTCCTTCAACCCGAGCTATTAAAGACGCAGCTTCCGTCTAGACTGGATGGACCGGGTGCTGTGGGTGTGATATCCACGCTGGTGTTGGAACATATTCCCCTTGAGCGGTTTTTTGCCGTTGCTGCGGGGATTATGAGATCTGGTGCGTATTTGCTTGTGACGAATATGCATGCTGAGATGGGGATGCGGAGTCAGGCGGGGTTTACGGATGAGAGGGGGGTTAAGGTTCGGCCTACGAGTTATTGTCATGGTATTCCGGATGTTTTGGATGCAGCTAGGGAGGCTGGGTTTGAAGTTGAGGAGGTTGTTGGTGCGGGTGCGGATGGGGTAGTTGTCAGGGGGGTTGATGAGGAATTGGGGGATGTTTTGGGGGCGAGGGCGAAGAAGTGGGTTGGGGTTAGGGTTTGGTTTGGGGTTTGTTTTGTTAAGGGAGGTTGAGACAGAGAGGTACATCAGAAGAGATATTATGCTATCTAAATAAACAATGAGGCCGAATCCAACGCCATGGGTTGCTGTTATACATTTAGAAGAATTTCAGTAGTCTGTCGCGGTGTTGTACAAGATTGGGATGTTCTTTGAGCAGTTGTCCCAGCCGGTTCCGTTTCCAGCCCAGGGTATCATCCAGGATCAATTGCGTGTAGGCGAAGACGCTGGCATCGAAGAGGCCTGGGTTTGGCCGGCCGAAGAAGTGCTCGTCTTCGCCGAGCAGGGTGGATAGCGCCTCGAATGCGCTACCCGCATCGCCTTCTAGGGCAGCGGCGTCGATGTAGCGCGATGTTTTGAGGAGCTCATCCCGGGCGGCCTGTTGAAGCTGGTGGCCTAGAGCAGCGCGTACGAGCGAGTTTGAGGTTGTGGGATTCACGTAGAGTCGGCGTGCGACGGCGTCGAAGTTCTCACTGTCTAGGTAAAGCATGTATAACTAGACGTGTCGGTCAGTTCCTTCGAGTGTAGTGTTTGTTTCTGATGGAATCATTGGCCTACCCAAGCGCTGCGTATCCGGTTATCCAAAAGCGAGGCATAAACCTCGAACCGTAGGTTCAATTGTTGTTCTTCCTCGCAGTGAACTTGTTCAATGGCCCACTTTTGGATCTTGTGTGAAGGGATCGGGTTTGAGGAGTCTGCAGGCAGAGAGGGCAGGAGGAATGGCAGGGAGCCATTCGGCGATGCATGGTTGTTGGACGATGTGATCTCAAAGTCAATTCCGACGAATTTCAAGTATGCCTGGAGCAAGGCCGATCAGTATGCTTCCGATGGGGACGGCTACCTTGTATGCGGGAATAGACGGCACGAACCTGCCATTTGAGACATTGAGGATTGAATGATGGCCGGCCATGCCGTACACCAGATGCGTCAGCGAACACGTACAGCTGGTTGACATTGTCGTGAGGTCGAAGGCGTTGAGGGATCTCGTTGGCGGGATAGGTAGTCAACGGGAACTTGTCGAAGAGGCGCTTGATAGGGGCGGGAACTGTAAAGAATGGACTGGCACTGGACTGCTCCGGAGGGCCATCGGCGCCTTTGGGTGGCATTGTGGTGGTTTGAAGCTTTCCAAATGTCGCCAAAGTCCAAAAGTGTCCCGAGTGCCGTCATCGAAACAATTCCGACGCGCCAAGCCCGAACAGGCAGGTATTGCCTTACCTAATAATGGCCAGGTACAGTCCTCCCCGCACCTTTTTTCCGCCTTTTTTCCTGTCTTTGCTTGTGAATAGTCTGAACTTGCTGTGATCTATGGACTATTCGGATCATATGAACTCGGTATCTTAGTGCTTATTCCATATCTTATGGTGTTGGTGTTGTGATCACATCAGCCCGGTCTCTCCCGCCTCCAACGTTGAACAAATTCAAACCTCCACTTGGCTCCGTCTCGACTCCACCTTCGACTTTGATCTGCTCTCGCAAACGACATTTTGACAATACGGGCATACATATGGCTTAGTTCATCGCAAAATACGAGGCGTCTGACGGTCCTAGCGGAAACGGGCGATTGCATGCGCGGGGTATCGACTAGCCGTTTGGGGTTCTGCGACTCACGGTTGCGCTATTACGAATCAATCTTGCATCTTACCTTGAATTCGACGGAATAATACATATCTCTTCGCCAACATGCCTCTCGATGAAGAAGGTGCCAAGTGGTCCTGGTAGGAAGTATATCGTATATTGTCAATGAAACCGGGCTAAAGAGTTACACCAGTGAACCATGCATTCGAGGTCACCGATCGTCAAAATGCCAGCACTTCGATAGACTCATGATGAAGGTACCTAAAGCCGGGCGTCCTCTTGCAAAATGTCCCCACCCGAAAGGAACTTGCAGCTGCCAGAAGACATATGCCGTGATGGTCCGCATCCCGAAAGGTATATGTTTGTCACCACACATGTCTTTGTGTTGTACTGACTTGCCCTAGGCTCATCATGCTTATGTCGTCCGCTCTATAAAGTCCCTATGGATGCCAATGAGTCAACTCAGTCTCCCCCGCCCTCCATGGTTTCTACATCGTCACCAGCTCCAGGCAAGGTTCAAAAGTCTGGAAGAAGACAGAGTACCATGCAAGCAGCACCTGAAAACATAGCGCGGGCATTAGAAAATATGACAGACAAGGTCAAACTCGAGGAGGGAACGTCGAACATGGTTTCAGAATTCTCTTCGCAGCTTGGGTTAGATGGTTCACATATATCTCCCACTGCGTCCACACAAAACCAAAAGAAGCCATCGCCCACAGAAACTACCAGGAAAGACTCGCAGTCTCCCCAAGTATCAAGCTGCTGCTCTCAAAATCAAAAGCCGAAGACACCCTCCCCGACCCCAGCTCCTACTGCGGCTGCTGCTCCGGCCCAGAATGGTGGATCTTGCTGCGGGGGGTCTCGCCCTCCCACGACAAATCCTGTTGTGTACCCAGAGGCCGACCAGCAGCAATTCCAACAACCTATTGCTTGGGATGATCAGAGTTACATGCAATTCCCCATGCCCCAAATGTCCCCATGGCCGAATAACTCGATTCCCACACAAGGAGACTACATGCATTCCATCATGCAGCAAGCACATCCCCAACATCCAAGCCTTCATAATGGGTACATGGGAATGCTGTTGCCACACTCTCAGCCTCAAATGGCCCAAATGGGGATGTCCGTCGGTGTGACCTCGCCGCCGTCCCTGGCGTACTCCAATCCGATGAACGGGCTTGGAATCACGCAGCCATCTATGGGTCCGTATATGCTGAACAATCTTGAGCCTTCCTGCAATGCTCCACTAAGCGGTGACTCTTGTCACGAGTGTAGCTGTGGAGAAGATTGCCAGTGTCTTGGCTGCGCTGCTCATCCGTTCAATACCACAACTCGGAAACATGTCCAAGAGATGGGTGCCATGATAACCTCTAACGGCGATGACAAGAATTCGGAAGTCATCAACCCTTACAAATCCTCACCTTACCAGGGAGGCACACCTTCGACCCCATTCCCTTACTTCATGCAAAGCACTCCTTCAATGGACCACGGCTTCCAGCCGATGCCATTTGATAGCTACTCGGATCCAAATTCCACCCTACCCAGTGGTTACTCCTCTCCTTTGTCGGCAAGCCACCATATTAACCAGCAGTTGATGCATCCTTCAGAGTATTACACCCTGGAATACCCAGTCGGGCTACCAAGCGCCTGTTCTGATATGACGGGCAGCTGCCAATGCGGCAGCGACTGCAGTTGTGTCGGCTGTCTCACACACAGCGGCCACAACGGTCTTTCTCTGGACGTGCCTATCCCCGAGCACCCCATTGCCAACACGGCTGACAGGCAGACCCAACCCTCGCGCCATGCTCCCCACACAAATTCTGCTACGTCTCAGACTTCGCGGATCCCGGTATTAGACAATGTGTCTGTGCCCTGCTTGAGTCCGCGCACTCTGGAGACCTCCATGATCTAGATGATCTACGGCTTGATGATTTCTTACTTTCTTCTTTCTCTCCACTTTTCTCCCCGCGCCGTTTTTGATCTGCATGATTTATGATCTCCTATGATACCCTATCTAGAATCTCTGCTCTAGACGGCCACAGTAATAGATTACTTGTTTGAATGTAATCTGTTGGGTTGAATATTCCCACTATTCCAGTTATCGTTTTCCGCATTGCCATTTGTAGTGATTTGTACATCCTTGCTTTCGACATGTAACTCACCTAGAACCAGACAGGGTATGCATGTATGTATTGGCGTAGAAGTCAGAGTCACCCACCCGGGCCACTTTGGTTACCCTAAAAACCCTAACTGGGAGATTATTTTGTTTGCATTTTGCAATCATCTTACTTTGAAATTAATATGATGATCATCAATGCATTGGGGGATATCATAATTCTGAAGCAAAAGATAGTGTACAAATAAAGGACAGTTACCCACAAAACCCAATCAACCCTTATTCCACTTTCCGAACTTCACATAGTCATCATAGAGCGACTTGAACACCGCACGGCCAGAGACATCCAGCGCAGCGTTAAGCGCACGCAAAGACTCACGCGACATGACATCCAGAGCCGCATACAGACCAGGCAAGATAGCAGCCTTGACCTCCGGGGACAGCGACCCACGCAGCGAGCACTGCGCATACTCCATAACAACATACTGCAAGTACTGACCGGCAATACGCTTCGGCTTCTTCGTCTGATCAGTCAGGGCCTCGCGGGATGCACCAGGCTGGGGACGGAGAACCGCCGACACGGTAGGGTCGCACAGCGAGGTCAGCAGACGAGTGTAGTAGGTAGCGTGCGAGGCGTCGAGCGGGGCGAGCCAGAAAGGCTGTGAGAGGGTGGGCTGGAAGCGGGAGCGGCCGCGTTTGCGGGACCGCGCGAATAGACAGCCCAGTAGGCGCTGCATGGCGTTTACCACTAGGTGGAAGCGGCCGCCGATCTTGAGGCGTTGCAGACTGAGTACGACACCCATTAGTCGGCACAGGCGGGTGTAGACGGTTGGTGCGTAGGCGGGGGAGATCTGGGGGCCGATTTTGGAGGAGGCGCTTGCGATCGCGCTGAGGATGCTGTCGATATTGCATTGGGTGAGACTGCGGGTGTGGCTGCGGAGGAGGAGGTCCAGACATTCGGAGGCGAAGCAGAATTGGTCGATGCTTGTGCTTTGGACGATGGCTTCGGCGAGGGACGTGCAGAGGAGGGAGATCTCGCGTGCTGTGGCGCTTTCTTTGTCTTCGACGGGAGGGAGCGAGGAGACGGCGAGGTAGAGCACAAGAAGTCTGTAGCCGGCGTTTTCCCCAGTCAAGCCAAGTCCGCGGACTTCGCAGATTGTTTGAGTGATTTTTCCCACGGTCATGGAACGGAAGCGTTCAGTGGTGGTCCGGATGAAGAGTTGTTGATCCTCAGCATAGAGAGACTGAAGGGCAAGAGTCTCGGCGCATTGCAGGACTGGCTGAGCGATGCTCTCTTCGGGCCCCTTGCTGGCAAGAAGACGTCGTCGGATCAACCGAGACGGTTCCGAATCAACGGACATTTCCATGTAATTGTCAATCTTGGTCAGGAACTTCTCCACTTCGACGTTGTTGGTGGCTAGATCTTCGAAATCCTCTAGAGCATCGATGGTCTTGATAATGGTAATTGTCTCCTCCATCTTCTGCTTCCTGCACTGGTCTTTGACATATTTCATGTCAGCCAACACGAAGTCGAACACTTTCTGGCGACAAGCGGCAAGGTCCTTCTCCGAGAAGGCTGTCTGCAGCTGCTTGCGGTGGACCCAGAGCTCTGACAAAGTCAACCTCAAAAGGTAACAGGCCATGGAGTCACGATCCACCTGCTTCATTTTAGCGGTTTGCTTCGATGCCCGGGTAAAGAGTTTTTTGAACATCTTGTTCCGCTCATCCTCCGATGAAACCAGGAGCTTGGCCGATATCGCGCGGTGCAGGCTTCGGAATGCTTTCATGATCTGGAGGTCGAGGTCGGTACCCTCCAATGGGACCGCTCGAGCAGCAGTCCAGATGGGGTCCCAGTCACTGGTCAGTGTGGCATCACACTTAGGCATGGCAGCCAGTTTCGCCATCATCGTAATAATCCCAATTGTGACATCGGGAGAACTGTCCTGTTCAAGTAGAACATTTTGCAACTTGTTCAAAATGGTGGTTCTCAGCCCCCGAGTGATCAGCGGGGCCGGGACCCTCTGCAAGCTCTCGACAAGCAGTTTGCGATTGGATGAGTCTTGCTCGATGCCCTCGTTGAGGAGAAGGGAAAGATCAGAGACAATGAAGGGAGCGTTGAGCATATATTCGTGGCAGACCACGCTCGCCCACGCCTGGAGGAATCTTGCTTCTTCTGATACAGCCTCCAAGGGCAACGACGACGAATGATATTGAGCGGCTGCCAAGGACAGAATATGACGGAACAGACGGGATCGATCATCAGAAGAGATAAGAGCCCAGACTTCCGGAACTCTGACGAGGGCCAGGAAGTAAGCTAGGCCAAGGGTTGTTTGGGAATCCACAGTATCTGTGCAGCCATTCCAGGGTGCCTTCATCGACTTCTTGGCATCCTTGGTTGAGATGGAGGTGATGAGGTCGGTGACATCCTTGGTGGCTTTAACGAATGAACCTAGCTGCTCATCACTAGCATGTGCCTTGGTTGCAGCAAGTAAAAACCGGTAAGCCTCCCACGACTCCAGAGGAGCGAGTTGGACTTTGGCTAGATCCTTGTGGTTGCGATGAACAGTCTTGGCAGCGACTTCTACCAATGATATGATAGCACTTGCCATGCTATTATCGGCTGACTGCAGTGTGTTGTCTAGGAAATTCCGAACCAACCGCCACAGACGCCATCGCCAATGCAGAGCCTGCTTCGACGATAGAGTAGAGGTTAGAGTTTCCAGGAGAGATGTCAAGGTCTTTTCCGACTCTGGGAATGTCGAGACTCGGCCACGGAAGCTTGCCTCGACAATGACCAGTTTGGCATAAGATTGAGGGGTTTCAGCAACCTTGCCATTTTCAGCTCGTGTCTCACTGGCAGCGGTATGCATCTGGGCAGCAATATGCGTTTCAGTGAGGGAAGTTCGCATCAGCTCCGAGTAAGCGTCCGCCAACTCATCATCTTCCCACACCGAGAACAGACTCAAATTGCTGTTATCTTGGCGAGCCTCCTCCACAATAACAAGTTGGTTGTGCCACAATTCCATGAAGCTGGACAGGTCTCTTGCGGCAGCGAAACCTCGTAACAACGGCAGCACAACCTTGCTCTTGATTATATCGTAGTCCCTTCGTTTCCGAGAGCCACTTTCGCGCCACTGCAATAGAACCTTGTCGAGCAGTGCGTCAAGAAGCTTACGCGAATCACGCAAACCGGAGTTTGGCAGGAAAATATCAACCCCGAGGCTGATAAACAGAGCGGTCACATTCCACTGAACCTTCTCAAGGCCTAGTTCGAACAGACCAGTATAATTGGCATGCGCCAGAATGGTGTGAAGAGAAAGACCGACCTTTCGGTCGAGAGCTACCTGGAGGAGGTGCTCCAATACCGAGATAAACTTGGAAGAAAAGGTGGCAAAGTCTTCCTCCTTTGCGGTAGAGAACGCTAGCTCTGCAACAGCAACGAACAAAGTCTCCAACCACGGAGCTTCATGTGTCTGTCTCCGAAACACATCTCTAGGAACCGCACGCACGGCGTTGTCAAAAAGCTCAGGAAGAAGCTCCACTGATCGCCAGGGATGCATACAAGCTTCATTGCTTGCTTTGTTTTCCTTGGCCACCGCAAACTCGCGAATGATTGGCCTGAAGGTATCAGTCACTGGTTTGACCGAGCTCCAGTCGGGCTCATCTTGAGAATAATCGATGCCAGAGCTTCCACGCTCAAAGAATGCTGCACGAGCGGGAAGTAAGACATGAAGGGCAATAATGCGTTCAATCGCATTCAAGAGAGTGGCCCGCTCGTCGGTGTCAAGTTTGGTGGATCGGAGGCAGATCTGGAGCCTAAGCGCGTGGGCGAAGCAATGTCTCGCGAAAAACTCATTGCTAGACTTGTTGTCCATATCATCTTCACGGTAAGACCTCGATTCCCACAGCTCTACAGCCGAGGGAAACACGTATAGCAAGTGCTGGAGATCGGTTGTTTTCCCCTCATGCGAGAACTGCTTGGCGGCTACGGCGGCTACCCGAAATGCGCGGCCTAGCAGCATAGCGACGGCCTCGGGCTCGCCTCTCAGCGCAAGCTTCAAATGAGAGTTTGCCACCCCATCAGTGCCTAGTGTGCGATGCGCAAGTGTCACAAATCCGTGTAGACAATCCAATGCGCGGATGAAGGCGAGGAAGCATGCTGCGGGGTTCTGACGTTGTTCGTCCACGTCCACGTCCATGGCGTCTGCATCATTCTCAGTTGTCATTCTCTTGCGCTTTTTCCCTTGGTTTCCTCGGCGATCATCGCGTGTCGGGGATCCAGACAGTGTGTTACTGGACTCCGAGTCAGAGCTTAGGGTTGAATTACCCAGACCAGAAAAGATGTCGGCCTCCAAATCTTCGAGGGTGTCACATAGGATCGATAAGAATTTCTGGTCTTTAAGAATAGCAGCGAGGTTCTTCGGCGAAATAAGGTCGATGAGCTGTCGTAATAAAAGGAACGAAGCCCCATCCACTCTGTAGTTCTTCCCACTTCTCAGTCTCTTCAATAGCCATCGTAGAACCCATTCCTCCTTCGGTGTAGCGTTTGTTTGAATCCGAACATCGCGGTGAACTTCCGGGTGACTTTCACATAGCTTCAAGTCCACACCGATAATCTGAGCCGCTTCGTGAATCTGGGTTGTTGGACTGGCGGTGCCCTTCTCAAGGCGGAGGAGCGCCTCTTGCGATGAGCGCGAACGCTGTAGAAGCGCAACACATTAGATCACGGAAAAAGACATGCAGTATTCCAATATAACATTTGACTTACCTCCGCAATCAACGGCATCTCGAAAAAAGCAAATTATTCGAGCGAGTGGATGGTTATCTGTCGAGGGAAAAAAAAAGTGACCCAAGAAGAAAAACCGCGGATTGCTCCGACCGCCTTTGGCCGAATCGACTCGGTCCGCTGAACCTCCCAAACTCCTTGCACTCCACACGCTCCATTCACCTCTATAATTCCACATTATTGCAACTGGTTTGTGTTTTGCCCTCGGAAATAGCTCCGACTCAATTGATACTTACTTCTGCTCCGGTAGATTTATCGCAATGGCTGAATCCAGTGAATCCGGACCGATCGCGCGCGCCACCAAGCCCGTCAGCGAGGCTTTGCTTAACGAGAAGGTATGAGCTAGCTGGATCCTGAAATGGGAGAATTTGCAATAAATCATTACGCCATTGATATATATGACGATTGTCTCGGTCTGGGAGCAAAAATGGGAGAACCCGCTGGCTAACCGTCAACGTCATATAATTAGTGGGACCGCGCCATCTCCTCTGTGCTCATCAAGTCCTCCCTCGGTCTGTCTTTCGGTGTTGTCTTCTCGGTCCTCCTCTTCAAGCGCAGAGCTTGGCCCGCGTGGGTTGGTCTCGGCTTCGGTGCCGGACGTGCCTGGGAAGAGGCTGATGGTACGTTCATTCATATCTATATCTCATTTGGTTCAGCTTTTGGAGAGACTTTTGGCGAAGTTGGAGCTTCGGGTCACTGTGAGATAAGCTCCATTGAGCTTGGGCAGAGGCTACTTGCTGTAATTTTTTCAGCAACGAGCTTTGCAGGCTCCTCAACAATGACCCGACTATCCGCTTTTCCCCGAGCCTGCCTATCTTGAAGATCCAATAATGACTGAGCTAACTTATACTTAGCCTCCTTCCGCCGCGGTGACTCCCCTATCCGAGATGCTTTGCGCCGTTAAAGAATGGCTTCCAAATATGTACGATAAATTGTACAGAAGGCAAGAGGCCATCAATGAGTGATTGTCTTCGGCCTAGAGAAGAATCGGTATACCGGTATTCATTAAACGACCGTCAACACCGAACGAGGTGTTTCCTTGAGTTTTTCCCCCCGTCTTTTGAATTAAGAAACATGATTTGAATTGAAAACCATGTCCTGGCACTTCACTTGCAACACCTGCCGTCAGTAATTTCAGATTTGGTTCCATATGAGAACGAAGGCAGAACTCGGTACAAAAGCATTCGAATTGTAAAGTGGATTTGTGAAGCGGAATGTCTCTTCATGGCCACTATAGATGAGCTTATGTCTATCGATTTAGAAGAAATACAACCAAACAAGGAATTCTAGATGCCTGCTAGTTCTTTTTGGTATGTCTATGCTAAGTTCTCTCCATGATGAGATATGAAGACAAATAAGGTAATAAAAGCAGAATAAAATAACGCTGATCTCAGATTCGCCAATATCAGTATTCTATTGCGTCCATTTTATTGCTATGATTGAAATAATTTGCCTTCTATACTCTTCGAGCGTTTGCATATGATAGCAGAATCGTTAAACCTCACTTTGAAAGACCAAGGACGCCGAAATGCCATACAAGATGGTAGTGACACCGGCTGAAGTATATAATTGTCGCTGAGTTCACAGTATGCTACATCAGTTTGAAAGAATCTAATCTCTGCCCTTCCTTCTTTCCGCTACCACTTCCTCCAAGCTAGCTATCACCTCGACGTAAACAGCTCTCGGCACAGGCAGACATATATGACCCGGCACAGGCCAGACAGGTATGGGCTAGAGCGGATGAGGAAGAGAAGTATCTGCGCCGGCATCGATGAGCAATTGGACGATCGTCGAATGACCCATCTCCATCGCCAATTGTACGACTCTTTCACAGGAGAAGTTGGCAGGTATCCTTGAGTCTTTGCTGTTATACTCGCCGAAAGGGGGGCGCGGAGGGCGGCCGCCTAGATCGTGATATGAAACATTGTAAGTTTTGCCGGGAGCGCTGGAAGTCACAATGTTGGTCCCACAGTTGGAGATGCACCCGTTCTTGCCCGGAGCAGCCGTTCCTGGAGCTCCAGTGGACGAGTTTGAAGGCGTGCAAAAGTCTCCCGTAGTTCCACATTGTCCCCAGATATTGCAACATGCGTTCAATGGGCACTCGTTTAAGGTGCTCAAGTCCGTCTCTGGGGGTGCCTTTACTGTATCATTGACCTGCGGCCCACAGACAGCATTTGGAATGGTGGCTGGCATGGGTGGATAGCCAGTGCTGAGGCAAATTTTGTATTTAGCAAAAGGCTTCTCACAGCCATTCCACCCCCACGTCATTTTGTTGAAAGACTCGATTTTGGCATTGGTGAGGTCGTTGGCTGCTGCAAGTGATGCGCATGAGTCCCCTGACTTTACGAGATTTGAATAGCAATAGCCATCCGCGCTGGGCTTTGGTGTGAAGTCTGGAAGAGTACCGGGGCTGCAGCAAACATGTTTACCCGGAGTCAAGCCCGAGCATAAACTTGGGTCAGAGTTGTATTTCGTGAACTGTGCCGCTGTGATACCGCACTGGGTTGCCAGTGAGGCACACGAGTCTCCGGATACTACTTGAATAGTCCGGCACGCAGTAGCACGATACGAAGTAAGCTTGTTCGGGTTGGCTGTGCTTGTGATGCTACTTGCAGAAGCAGCAAGATAGGTCACTGTTTCCCAGTCCGAGGCAGCAATTTCAGTCTCTGTGGAAAAACAGGTGCCATTCTTGGAGGCCTGCAATCCACGCTGGACAGCACCAAATTTACCCTTGGTATTGACTAGTACACTCAACGAGTATCTGGCCGAGGAATTGCTGCACATCTCAACCGACCAACTTTCCGCAACGCTTCCGTCATCTTTGATTCGTGTGCTAAGCTTTTCAAGAACTGTGCTGAGCACACCCTGCCCAGCAAGTCCTGAGCCAGCGTAAACACCCACAATCACATCACCAGAATAGAAATACTTGATGGTCTCGTTGCAGCCTGAGTTGGACAGTATTGCAAATGCCTGCAGTTGCTCCAGGGCAGAGGTGACGTCAGCCACGTGCTGTGAAGAAGAAGCACCTGAGGACTTTAGCAGCAAGGGAAATGTCACTTCGGCTTGCTCTGCCACTTTGCTGGCGCAGCTGGTAGCAGAATCAGAACTTGGCACAAAGCTTGAGAAGTTTTCATAGTCCGCGGTACACGCGGAAATGGCGACATGCGACTTCTGTGTGTCGATAGGGTTGGCCAGTGCAAAGTCCAAAAGCATGGGCCTATCACACGCTCTATCAAGACGGTTGAGGCTACCATATACAAACCAGGAGCTGGTATCGATACCTGCGTTGCTGCAACCCACAGGGCAGACATCTCTGCCCTGGTAATGTAGTCGCTTGGTGTAGTCCCCTGCAAGGATAGCCTCTTGTGCACTTACTAGTTCTGTCGGTCTGCCGGGGGCAGTTCCAGAGACCGTGCTGACAGAAATAGATGCTAGGAGGGCGTTGGCCGCTTTATTGGCATTTATCACAGAAGCCAAGGAAGCCCAGACGACTGCCAGTGGAATGGCAGTTGCCAGAGGGGGTAGTCTCATCTTGGTATAGCGAATAAATGGCCGCTAAGAGAGTAGGAGCAGCCGCGAAACGGTTGAAGACTGAGACTGGGGAGACGGCCTCTGCTACCGGCCTCGAAATTGAATGACTATAAAGGAGTGCCGAAAGTGCTGCAGCTGAGCAAAAAGAGCAGGCTTTCATATGCTCTTCTGACTTATATTACCTGACCCGGATCCAAGTCTAGCAATACCGGCTGTTTCGGAGCTACTCCAACTTTTACATTTGGTAGAAAATGTAAACTCTGCATCGTCCGTGTAGATTGCTGGCCATGCACTTGGTACCTTAGCAACTTTGGCGTAACGTAGCCTTCCATCTTTAGGGTTCTCTGCACATAGTGATGTATCGTCGTCGTAATCAAGATCGTAGCCGTCGAATTTGCTCATCCAGAAGGCATTGGCGTTTGGATTTCTGGATACACCCATAAAGGCTAGTCCAAGGTTCAAGTACTTGGTCGGCATCTTAGTTTTAGGATCTCTATCAGTGACAACGTTTTTCCCTTCATGATCCTTCACGATAGAGGTGTCCCAAGGTTGATGTACGCCTGCTTCAGCGCCACAGAAGAGAAGAGGCTTTCCCCCCGCCCCGTAGTCGGTCGGGCCACCGCCCGCAAGAAATTTGGTGACGAGTGAGATGTGATCTATATTCATCACGCGTTATTCATCAAAACGAGCGCCGTGATAATTGCAGAGGGCATATAGATGAAAGTAAGTACCTCCAATGGCTTCCCATAGCTTCACATTTGCCTCGTCCTTCAAGTCCACGTCATTGGTATATTGATCAATCTTGACTCCAAACCCACGAATGGGCTGTGGGTTGGATTGGGCTCCGAAGGTTAGGCCCACAGCCTACTGCTGGTTGGGCTTTGGGCCCGGGGTTCGGGCCCATTTATGTGCTTGGCGGAACGCTAATATGGAGTGTAAACGGCGGAGATGCGAATTACTGGATGCGGTTAGTTTTGCCTCTTTAGTTCAACACCCCAATGCGCCATCACGTAACAATTCATTCATTGTATTGTGAATATCTCCGGAATAGCAATATTCCTGTCTCGTAATGACAACTTGATTCTGTACAATTTTCCCGTTGCCCACCCGTGGACGGATCTAGCTGACTAATCGCCATTGGATCACGCGACAAATAACGTCATGAACATTTGGCTTGAGAATCTTAGTATCCCTGTTCAGACGCAGTTCCCATCGCAAGCTTGGAAAATCATATGAAAACACAGGACTAATCTCTCAGAATGCAGTCAGGAGGACCAGATTCCGAAGTAGGTCCCGCCCTTCCTGAAACCAACGATGCTAATAATCCTCTTAGCCATTGTCTAAATCCGAGAACCGTATCCTCAAAAAGTACGGAAAGCTGCCGTGTGGAGGCTTACTGGCTCAAAAGGCAAGGTACCTATAGAATACAGTTTCTTATGACGCACGCTAACTGTCAAACGGCAGGAACGGACATACTTTGACTCTGGTGATTTCGCTCTTTCTGCCGCTGATCGCGAGACTGACAACGGCGCTATTCAAACGGGCAGAGCCCATCCTCATCGGGAAAACATTTCGCATCCTTATGCCTCTATTCCAGCCTCTAGTAACGTTGACGAGGATGCCAACCAGGATACGTATAGGAAAAGTGCGAGTATTGAGAAGAGTCCTCTCCTTCACCAAACAGACATTAAAGATGAACTTACAAACAAGGAGGGACAGAATGACCATGACTCTCACGCATGTTAAGACCAAATTGTCGCATTGAAATTGAGAACAAATTGTATGTCATTCAGCAGGACAGCACGAGCAGCACAATAGCCAACGAGGCATGATACGATAACTTTTTTATTGTGAGGTCACGGAATTTTTCAATCTTCCAATGCCCATATTCTTGAAACAGTTTTATAAGCTGCCTAAATAGTCTTATCCTCTCTTGAAATTAGGGTTCGAGAAATAATCAAAGCTCAAAGAGCGTAGGTAGTGAGTGACACCGAATTCCCGATGCCAGGTGTGCACATTGAGAGCAAGTTATAATGGAAATACAAACCAGAGTGTCTGTCTGCTTGGCAATGGAACATTACTATGAAACCCATGCTCTGGGTCTTCTTCATACCGCACCTAGTTCGGTCTAATGGATGCTTTTAATTCTAAGAGCTCCTCGATATAATTTCAGTTAGATGAGTAAAGCCGCAGATACACTAGCTTTACTCCTGATTTAGTGCGCATACGATCAGAACGATGGAAAGATGCGGAAAGATGCGATGTCCATAACTAGAACGGACTTTAGCCCAGGCCATGTTCCACAATGCCGAAAAAGCTGATCGATGAAGTCCTCGAAGGTTATAGCATCTGTAGAGCTCTGAACTACGCGAGAGATCACAATTCCATCTTGCAACACGTGGGCAGCATCTGGTATATACATGTTCGACATTGGCTTCCATATTTTATACAAAAACTATCTCAAACCCTAATGCCAAGTCCATGGTGAAGCCTATTTGGGTCAGGTTCAGCGAGGCAGCATTTTATCCCTGTGCGTGAGAATAGAATTGTAAGATACCCAAGAAAACCAAAAGTGGCTGGGCACTTGAATCGCGAATATTGAAGCATTTACAAAGAGCGCTTGATCCTTTGGCTGCTACATCCGGAATCGACGAAACAATGACACTGTCTTATATGGCTCTAGATAACGGTTCGGCCCATTGTACGGCAAAGCGTGCACTGGAAGCGGAAAGTCCACAGATCGCTGCATCATATGGTCAGCCAAACCCAGGGCATCAGGCTTCCCTCGACGTGATATCATGGTTGCGATATGAGCTCGCAGGCCTATTGTGATGTTAGACTTGTCAACAAGCACACAAGCGTTGCTCACTTACAAGCTAATTCTGTGCGCAACATTGGCTAACTCGGGGTCGTTGGCAGCCTCCTGCTCAGCACGCTCCAGAGCAGAGCGACGGACCTTTTCGCTTCGCTGGGCAACTTCTTCTTGGGTAGGCGGTAGACGCTCGTTCTGCAGGTCGACCTTTCGGGCCTCCTCAAAGTTGTGGATGGCTTGCTTAATGCCTTCAGCCCCCAGCAGGAGAGTACCAGGGGGCAGACGGCCATCGGTTACTGCTTTAAGCTCACTAATACCTTCAGATTGTTCACGGAGCACCCTGAAGACACGAGAGAGACGACCGATTGCGAGAATCTTGTTTCTGATAGCTCGTTGCTTGATCTCGCCGAATTCGACAGTGGGATCGGTATCTATAGGCAAGGAAGGCGAGGCGGGACTAGCCGTAGCAGTTGAAGGAGTATTGTCCTCCTCTAATTCTTCTTTCGAGCAGGTATTAAGAATAGCAATCAGCATGTCGGTGATTTTCTCACCGACGAACGGTAGGGACCAGGTAAAGACATCCATAAAGTTAGACAGCCAGAACGGGTGCGGGGTGGAGTTGAATTGCCGGATATTCATCACGTTGTTCTCGTATCTGAGAATGGCGGCCTTATTATTGTACCTATCGAGGTAGTTGGGCGCGCTGAAAATGGTCATGACACTAGGGAATCCGGTCGTCTGTGTCTTCCTATACATACGGTATCCGGCATCTTGGGCTTCGTGTGCTCGAATGATGGAAAGTAGGTTGTTTTTCTCGAGAAATGCGCATGCGGCTGAATAGGAGAAGGAATAAGAGCAACCGCGAACGCTATTGTGAATGAAAAAATCGCCTGTCTTTTCTTGGCCGAATTCCTCTAAAGGATCGGCCCAAAGGAGATCGCACATAAGACCGTGGGTTGGGGGTTCGCGGAACCGGTCAATCTACCAACTGTTAGAGGCTATAACAACATTGATAGCTCATAGCTGCATACCGCCATAATATCCTCGAGAGTGTGTAGTTCTGGGCTAAGACCACCGTGGACACAGAGAAATTGCTTGTTCATGACCGCCGCTAGCGGTAGAGAACAGAAAGATTCGATGCAGGCCTTATAAATTCGCTCACTGTACTTGTGGTTGCACTCCAGTTTAAAGGTAAAGTATTCTGTCAGGTGACTACATTCATGGTTCCCGCGTAGCAGCCATATCGAATGTGGATACCAGATCTTCAATGCCCAGAGATACAGAATACACTATAGACAATTGTTAAAACCACCCATATCAGCCAGAACTTATACGTACTTCAATACTAAAGTAGCCTCGATCAACGTAGTCGCCCAAGAATAAGTATCGTGTCTTAGAAGGGTCACCGCCAACCTCAAATAGCTTCATTAAGTCGTAGTACTGGCCGTGGATATCGCCGCAAACTGTTACGGGGGCATCCATCTCTAGAAGATTTGGTTCCGAGCGCAGGATCTCACTACCGGCATTGATTATCCAAAGCGCTTGGTCTTCAGTGAGCCGGCCCTCTCGATACAGGTGCTGCTTGAGGAACTGGAGATTCGGCTTTGAGGGGTCTTCGTGGGACCAAAACAATTCATCCGATGGGGTGGTCAGGGCGGGCGCTTGAACCTCTAGCTTCCATATTCTCATCAATTATTCCATGGCTGTGAAGTGAGAGCGACCGGGTCGTTCGTGGAATTAATTACCTTTTACCACTCGTTCGAGAGTCGACACTTGCGTGCCATCCTCCATTGTATGCAATGAGAAATCGATTTCAGGGGTCGACTTCTGATCGGCCAGCCCACGCACGGGGTTGCGATCCATCCCGAGTGGTTATTGAAAATAGATTACGAGGGCTCGGGGATTAGAGTACGGGGGAGGTGGGGAGTATACCGCAGAGAGGATGTGGTGGGTAGGCTCAGGGTGATGGAAAGGATTTCCCAACAACAGCGGACGGGAAAGTCACAATGGAGATCCTTAGAGAGACGATGGAGGGTTTATGAGTTGTTGAAACGTGGTAAAGAGTTGGTGGAAGAGAAAAGGGGATCAAGTCGCGCCCATTCGTGTTATTGTGACCTAAGGGTCTACGAGATACTATAGGTCCACTTGACATGTTCTTAAATCTTGGCTAAACCCACTTCATTCTGTGCAATGAGTATTGACTAACTACATTAGGCCTGGAGTTACTAAAATTAGTTTAAAATAATCAAAATGGTGAAATTGATTTCGATCGCTTATGCCCCATCTCTACGGAGTAGGAAATTATTTGTTAATTTTGCCCGCGTGCTCCTAGGATTCGTGCTTGAGCCCTAGAGGGAGATAGGAATTATGTAAAACGCGTGGTTATGCTAACTAGTTATTGGTTGAAGTATTGTCCGGTTAATTCGGTATTTGAATAGCACGAAGTCTTCGTGATGGGAATAGGGTGGGCCTCTAATAGGCGTGAGCCGATACTTCCCATTTCGAGCTCGACGGAGGAGGCAGGAGTCTCAGTTCTTTGTCGATTCTCGAATTCCGAACACGATGCCTTATTACCACTCATTGAAGGTCGACTCTTTGGCAAGATAACCTCCCTGTCCGTCATGGAGCTCAAATAGGTCTGTTATTTTCTCTGGTTTAGTGGTAGGGCCACCATCTCCCCCAACTCGAACCCTACGAGCGAGGGTATTGGTGAGGTTCGCTTCCTTGCCACCGTGAGCGATACCAAGACCAAGTGGGCTGGTGTTGACGATGACGACATGGCAGACTAATGGCAACAGCCCTGCGAAATACCACCGCATGCTGAAATGAGGTACACAATGAGGCTATCACCAAGATGGAAGAAAAATTCGGAAAATGTGTTGAAAGGACCTTAGACAAGTATCAAGGTGGAAGAACTGATGAAGTTGATCCGCGTGTCTTGATAATTCCACAGAACGAAAGAGAAATCTTAGTTGCAGCTTAGATCCTTTCCATACAGGAGGATCTGCACTTGAATTTCCTCGGACGCTGATCACCTGTCAATGTCATTGTGCCCAAGTTCACCCTCCTATTTATGAGTGAATGTAACCTCTCGTCAACCAAAACAGTCTCCGTAATAAGAACATAATACACAAGCCCTACCTACCGTACGGTCATGAGGCTCTGCTGCGGGGCAGTTGGTATCGCTCCAGGTGCATCTTGCGGTGGAGCATGTTCCAATTTAAAGCAACTCCTATTGGGCTAAGCTCAGGAACCTTACGCCAAGAATCTTGGTCAGCTCTTGTAAAATTACTCGGCAAGAACGGCATCGCAAATATGCCGCAGAGCAAAGAAATGAACTCAAGCAATGCCATATGGCGTTGCCTACCTAGGTAGATGTGAGATTGGCCGTATGTGGAGAGATCGACCCGTGCCGCTGATGCAGGGTCTCATACCTAGGGCTACCCGTGGACTAATCAAACGTTATAGGAACCTCATTTTGCAAATCCCAAGCTGTTTCCCCACCTATATTCTGGGTACAATAGCAATACGGGGCAAAAAGACAGCTAAAAAATAATATCTGAGAATACATCGAAAAGGGCATACCAAAATGATCCCCAAAAGGAAATACTAAAAAGGAGTCACAAGACCGCATAAGCCGCATATTATATGTATTTTTAATTGGTATTGGTATTAGTCCCAGCGGTATGCTAGTCCGAACCCAGTCACTTTCAGTGAAGGAAATCAAATCAAATATACTGCCAAGGAACGCCCGAGAGCAGGGATCTCGGACACAAGACTGAATTTTGCAATCGGAAATGCTGCATGAAGATAACTTTGAGCTGACATAGTCACGCCTAAAACTTGACGGAGGAAGCCGGGGCTGATGATGTTGAGGCAGAGGTTGCAACCTTGAAAGCAGAAGCTGTTGGGTTTATCTTGATTTCCTGCTCATGTATCCTTCAGTCCCTCTCTTTGTGCTTCAATAATTTCACACCACTCACCAGAATCATGAGGTCCCTCCAAATCTTTGCCTTTGCGCTGGGTCTTTGCTCGGCAGATGCCTATCTGGTAACTCCTCCAGGAACACCCGCACCAGGGGCTGCGTCTGGCTGTAGTGAGTGGGTGCAAGCCTCCTACGGCCTGACATGCGATATAATCCACCGCTTCTATGGCATGACTGATGCCGAATTTGAGGAATGGGTGAGCGAGTTCATCTGCTTTGAAAGAATAAAATAATACCGCCCACATGTACTGACTCGGATAGAACCCCAGTGTCAGTCAGCTAGGCGATGGCTGCAACTTAATCTCAGATCTCTACTATTGTGTTCAAGTCAATTATGTGCCAGAGACTCCAACATGGACGCCACCCGCAACTACCACAGCCTCAGCCGGGAACGGTGTCACCACACCAACTCCTACACAGGCCGGCATGGCGAAGGACTGCAACAAGTTCTATCTGGTTGTCAGTGGCGACTCCTGCTATAATATTGCAACTGCCCAGGGAATATCCCTTGACAACCTTTACGCTTGGAACTCTGCAGTTGGAAGCTCCTGCAAGGACCTCTGGCCTGATTATTATATCTGTGTTGGTGTGATATCAGGTACCACTACATCCCCCCCTACTACTACCTCCGCAACCACAACCACAACCACGGTTGGAAATGGAGTTGTGACTCCAACGCCAATTCAGACGGGCATGTCGACCAATTGCAACAAGTTCCATCTTGTTGTTAAGGGAGATGGTTGTTACGATATTGCTGCGGCTGCTGGGGTTGCACTGAATGACTTTTATGCCTAGAATCCCGCTGTGGGAAAATCGTGTGTTAGTCTCTGGACTGAGTACTATGTCTGTGTGGGCATCATCGGTACTTCAACTACAACTAAGACTACTACTACGAGATCCGGCAACGGTGTTGCCACTCCCACACCAGTGCAGACAGGTATGATACGTACTTGTAAGAAGTTCCATCTTGTTGTTAAGGGAGATGGCTGTTACGATATTGCTGCAGCTGCAAAGGTCAAACTGAATGACTTCTATGCGTGGAATCCCGCTGTTGGAAAGTCTTGTGCTAGTCTTTGGGCTGGGTACTATGTATGCATTGGTATTTAGTAAGTATGGAAACAACACGGCCTGTCAAGGAAGATTGTGTCAGATCAAGCACAAATTTCATGTTTCGCCTTTGCTAGCGAACACACACCTGGTTACTTCAAATTCCGATTGAGCAAATTGTTTGTTTCGTCAAATGTACCACTCCAGTCTTCCTCACTTCCGCTTAACCAGCATATTTATTACTATTCATTTCACCCCAAACACGAACGCCTGTACTGTCAACCAGTTGCTGTCATACCTCAAGCCAATACGTTCAACGTGCCACCAAATATTGTTGCTAGATATGGTTGGGGTTTGAATTATACAGGGTTTACCCATGCAAGTTCCTTTTATGTATGTAGTAACTAAGGGGACTAACCCCCTCCCGAGGCTCTTTACATCGCAGACGAGAACTTATGTTTCTTGAGTCATATTAGGCCCTAGGACCATTGAATAGTTCCTAGGCATGCTATTGGTCGCTCATATGATCATCCTCATAATGCATATATCTGCCGCATAACCTGATGATTCAGCAGAATAAAAAACGGTTATTTACACTAGTCATAGTCACTACAATCCTTTTGCAGTAGCAGTTGTTCTTCGGTCATTTAGATTTGTTGAAATTCTCAAGTATTTTGGTTCACTTTATACGGAACAATGATCTTCTCTCTTATTTGCGACTATTTGGTGTGTATACAGTCTTCTGTGACTTGAAGCTATTTTAGTGAGAGAAATATATATCTCGTGGGTGCACCTCATATTTAATTCATTCCTAGTTCCTACCATTATTGGGTGATTGCAGGTTCTAGTCAAATACCCAAGAAAAACAGCCTACACATCTAATTCATTAATCAAATTAGTTATATATACCATTACTATCAATAAGAGGTTGAAAATATCATTTGTGGAGAGTAAAGACTAGAAAGCATGAGATAGCAGTACCACGTGACTTAATGAGATGCCCAAACTGTCCTTTATAAAATGTCGGAAATCACCGGTACAGCAATGTATGTTTCAAAATGACAGATGTGTATGACTCTAACTAACTAAAATGACAAGAATCCCCTATTTGACAATTTGCTGGGGCATAACTGACTAAGCTTAATATGCAATTTGTATGGGGCCCACTATCATAGCGGTCCATGTATTTTCCGAGGTGTTGAATACTCGGGTTCCCAGTCATGTATTGTAACATAGCTTTCGACATAAAATAATAATGTAGAAGGGGGCATGTCCTTCAAGCAAATTTTCCGGGTATTTGGGCGGACTCTGGACAGTCCAAAGTCCGCCCACGCTAAATATGCATGTCTCCCACCACCATATCCAATCGCAATTCATAGAGGTTGGAGGCCATAGCGTTCATGCGCGATGTATCAGATTTTATTTCTTTAGGTAGACAGACGGTCATAACCGGCAAAATCACCCAAATCTATGAGATTCAGAGAGTCTTTTCTTTCTTTTCCCCCATAAAAATCCCATACTCTTGGATCATGTCTCAAGACACCGACCTCGCCTCGTCGTCTTTCCACGGTAGCTACGGTCTAGACCTCTTTCCGTCTGACCTAGAGTCCAGTCAGCAAACCATTGAATCAACACCAGCCTCCGAACTATTACATCCTATGATCTCCTCCTCCCTTGAGCGATTCGGAAACGACTGGATTGTTTACTCCGAAATGAGCAAAGAGGATTTTATTTTCTGGTGGCTTCAAACTATCCACGGAAATGAGCTTCGTGAAAGGAATAAGAGCTTCTGGGATCGATCCCGAAGTCATTCAGAGGCATGGTAAAGCTTTAAGCAGGTAGCTCATACTGTGACTGGGGACCCAAAGATAGTATGCCAAAAATGCGGTCAGCTTCTTGATCATCCAAGCCGCAAGTTGAATGGAACTACCCCAATGGCAAGGCATCTCAGAGGAGAGAAGTGCCAGAGACTTAGCAATCGGATTGCCGGAAATAGCTCTCTTCAAGAACTTTTTGCCCGCCAGGTAAGGAATACACTGGAAGGCAAAAGGTAGATTGCCTCGATATTGATGTCTATCGTTTATGAACAGGCGCGCGATTATCCAGCCCACGAGAAACGCGAGTCTTTTACAAAAGAACTATGGCAGCAAGATATCCTCACAGCTATTACTGGTCTACGACTCCCTTTCCTGATCATCGAAAACCCATTATTCCAGAGGTTACTTCAGCGAGCCCAGTCGTCCCCTTTGCCTCTTGAGTTCCCTTCGGCAAAAACAATACAGTGCCGGCTTCGAGATACAGTTCAGGAAAGACACCAATGTGTACTCAAGAAGCTACCCGCCGAGGCCAAAATGTCTATTGCACTAGACTGCTGGACCTCGCCTTTTCAACAAGCATTTATGGCTATCACTGGCTACTTTATTGATGATAAATGGAAATACCGTGAGCTTCTCCTCGGGTTTGAACCACTTCATGGGTCCCACACTGGCGTTAATCTTGGTACCGTTCTTTTTGAGGTTCTTCAGCGATATCAATTGGTTGAACGAGTGTTGGCTGTGACAACAGATAACGCTTCAAATAACCAAACGTTAGTAGGAAGAGTGCATGAGCAATTGGAGTCGCTTAATATCAGCACTACAACACCGATTATCCGAGTTCCATGTATTGCTCATGTTATTCAACTGAGTCTCAAGAGCCTTCTCGGTTATATGAAGCTTGAACCAGTGAATGAGGCTACACAGAGAGAATGGTCTGAAAACCAGTCCCAATCCCTCCGTGCTAGTCAAAGGAAGGGTATAATTTCTACCCTTAGCAAGGTTAGAATCCAATCCTCTCGCAAAAGTTAACACTAACTAATTTTACAGGTTCAGGGCCTAGCGGTTTTTATTAACGCTAGCCCTCAGCGTCGTGATACATTTCGAAGTCTCCAGATTAAAGGCTCAAAGCTTTTGCCAATCCAAGATGTCAAAACCCGCTGGAACTCTACTTTCCTGATGCTTCGACGCGCAAAGAGACTACAGCTAGTGTTTAACAAATACTGCTCTGAGAATCAGTATGCGCAGTTCACGTTAGACCGGGACGAATGGCGACAAATCGACTACCTACTGTGTTTGACCCAACCTTTTTTCCAATTTACCACTATTCTCTGCCAAACCAAGGAGGTGACTATCCATATCGTCTTCGAGATCTATCACTCTCTTTTTGGGCATCTTGAAAAATCGATACACCAACTTCAACAAAAGAGAGTCCCTTGGAAGCAATCAATGCTTTTTGCAATTCTGGCGGGACAGGAAAAGCTTGCAGCTTATTATGGTAGCACGACTAAAGCCCATGGTGATCTTTACGCGATTGGTACAATACTTGCACCACAGCACAAATTGCAGTTCTTTTCGCGTGACGAATGGGCAGAGAATAAGTTCGCATCTCGTGAGAGATATCGACAAAGTCTTAAAGACTATGTTCGACCCTATCACGAGCGAATGTCCAATAGCCAAGCATTCTCAAATAGCCAGGCATCATTGGATCAGGGTTCACAGCTCGCAACACTCATCGCGCAGGTCGGTTCGAACCAAAAGCCATTACCTCGCCACAATAACGAGGTTGAGAATTATCTTGAGAGTGGTAAGTCTTTACCCGGTTTGATTCTAAAGTGAATGTAGCTAAACTGAATTATCTAGGCACTACTTCAATTGATCCATGTTCCTTCTGGAAAGGCCATCAGCATAAATTTCCGATGCTCGCAAGCGTTGCACGAGATGTTCTATCTATCCCTGCAACGGGTGCGGGCGTTGAGCGATTGTTTAATTCTGCTCGGGATATCTGTCACTATCGTCGAGGATCACTGAAGCCTACAACGATACGGGATCTGGTGATGTATATGTGTGCAACTAAGTTTGACCTCGGGGAGGAAGAATTAGAAACCTTTAGGCAATCCTTCTCGAGGGAAGAGAGAGAAACGGCGGATGAAGAGAAGGATGTCCAGCATCCACAAGAAAATCTTGATCCTATCAGCGATGACGAGGAGGATCCACGGATTGAATCTAGGGAAGTTGAAATCAATGCACATGTGGCTACTGGGCTTAATTCTGGCCGGGAGCAGTTGGATCTTTTACAGGGTTCTTCTAGCGAGGGAGAAGAGGTTTTAGGAATTACCAGAGGATCGGGTGATGATGATGATGGTGAGCATCCTTTACCAAGGGATCACTCCCTAAAGCGCTCATCAGGGAGAGTATGTAGACCTTCTAAACGTTTGAGGGGATATGATGTATATTAAGAAACAAGTTGCACAATCTAGAACACACAAAGGAATACGCACACAAATACAATGGCAGCTACAAGGATTTATCTACAGGCGTAAACTAGATACCGTTAAATACAGCAAATTTTACATAACTCTATGCACATTACAATGTCCCCACTTTTGACCCATTGGACTGTCCAGGACGTCCAGGTGGGCGGACGGGGGCCCCTCGGCCCGCCCACTGGACACCAAAAAGGTGTCCAAACCCGCCCATGGACCGGTTTGGACATGTCCATCGATGGGTCAATTGGACTTTGGCGAGGTCTACCCTGACGTGCCAGACCGCGCTAACCCTAAAAGGTCGCATTGACCGCCCCAAACGCGCCAACTACATATCAACGTCGCTCAGTCATTGTTGCCCTCACAACTACATGCTCTACACTTCTGAAGCAATCAAATATCCCTGACTCAGATACGGTGAGTATATACATATCCTAACTAAATATCTTCAAGGATGCTGAGTTACGCCCAGGAATCACCAAGTCTGATTAACAATAGATTCCATTCTGGCTTTAAATACAACACATATCAAGTGAAAGGTGGGGTCTTCGTACGCCCCGAGATGATTCAAACCCCCAGCTCAAACATTGCCAGCTCCAGAGTCCCCCTTCATCAGTCGCGGCATAACGAGCGAATGTGCAACCCCGTCAACAAACATATTCATAAATGCTGCCACCAATGGGTTCATTCCTTCAGCCGAGGCCGCAGCAACCCAGTCGGAGATACTCGTAGTAGAAACCGGTTCTCCAAGCTCTGTTTCCAAGAAGACGCGTGATTGCTGGATAGGAATCACCGTCTCTCCGCAGTGATGAACATAGACTGGGTCCTCGGCCATGGAGGAATCATTAGCCAGGGCTGCCTCAACAACTGCTAGAGCGACAGAGTCAACATGTACGAAATCAAAGTATCCACGCCATCCTGGGAGTTCCGGAACGCTCTTCAACAGCCGAGAATAGCGCAGCACAGTGTGGACGATGTCCGTTGACGGAGTGCCATCGCCCGTGACACTGGTGGGTCGATGAATCCACACAGGCATTCCAGTCTCAGCAGCGACGCGTTCGAGGAATCGTTCGCTGGCCCACTTCGATGCCACATAGCCCTCTATTCCGTTGGTAGGCGGCGGGTAGGCTGCAACAGAGACTTCGGGATATGATTCCTTGCCGCTCAGTTGAGCAACTCCCGCCGTGGAAATGAAGTGGAAGGGGATTTTATGCTTGGCTGCGAGGCGGACGAGCTCCTTGGTGGACTCAACATTCGGCCGGCGAAGTGATTGATATGACTTCATGTGCGAGACATCGGCACCATTGTGGATAATGAGGTCGGCCGATTCGAAGATCATTTTTGCTTTTTTCTCGGACAGTCCGAGGAAAGGTGACCTGAGATCTCCGGCGTGGAAGAATATCTTATTTGACTCCTTTTGGGCCGTCTTGGGGTTCCTGACAGCCAGACATTCAATCTTCGCAATACCAGGGCTAGCGGACAGCTTTTTACATAAGGCGCGACCCAGAAAACCGGTTGCACCGGTCAAAAGGACAGTCTTGGGCTTCAAGGTGTCTTTTGGTGGGTATGTCGCACCCACTGTGGACAATATATCGGAGTGCAAAGCCGTTTCCGCCTCCCAATCAATTTGGGCAGAGTGGTTGGCACCGCTTGCATCAATGCGGGATGAAAGGCCCTCGAGCGTGTTGTTTTGGAAGAGTTCAGGTAGGGTTAGATCACTCGAGAGACGGTCCCGGATCTCGGCTTGCATCTTAAGCAAAAGGAGCGAGTGGCCTCCAACCGAGAAGAAGTCGGAGGTCTTCTCAATTCTGAGCTTTTCACCGTTATCGACCAGAAGCATTGCCCAAATTTCACTCAACTGTTGTTCGGTAGCCGTCAATGATGCGGAAACCTCGGCACCAGCAATGTCACCAAGAGGAATGGAACCTAGTGCGCGGCGATCAAGCTTTCCTGAAGCCGTGATGGGAAGCTGCGTCAGGTCTTTGATGATCGCGGGTTTCATGAATGAGGGAAGAGAGAGCGCGGAGCGTAGCGAGCGAAGATATTCGGCTGAGTTTTGGGGCTTATGCCCATCGGAGAAGACAACGAACGCAGCCAAGAACTTTTCTGTTTCTCCTCTGAGTACAACTGCAGCATCGGAAAGTAAGGCGCTGGCGGTGTTGAGAAGCGCAGTCTCAATCTCTTCCAGCTCGATGCGCACTCCTCGGAGTTTGACCTGCGAGTCTCCCTCCATTCTGCCTTGATAGACCAAAGATCCATCCTCGAGCAGGCGTACCTTATCCCCTGTGCGATAGAGGGTTTTCCAACCTTTCGAAAACTTATCAGAGCCGGAAATAAAGTCTGTGATGAATTTCTGCTTCGTAAGGTCTGATTTGCGCCAGTATCCAGGGCTGATACCAGGCCCACCGATGAGTAGTTCGCCAGGAAAGCCAACTGGGACAGGCTTTGCATCATCATCAACGACATAAGCTGCGTAATTGTTCAGTCTCCTACCAATAGGGATTCTTTCATCGTTGATGGCTCGGTAGTTGACCGCGCCTATGGTGGCAGCGATAGCTCCCTCAGTCGGACCATAAGCATTGAAAACCTCGAGATTGTCGAGATGAAGGTCACGGAACTTCTCTTTAAGACCAAGAGGGAATGCCTCGCCACCTGCGTACGCAATACGCCAGGATGTGCACGATGCCAAAGCCTCTTTGCCATGTCGCAACAAAATTGAATATTCTGACGGAACACACAACGTAAACGTTACTTTCTCACGGCCGATCAACGTGGCCAGTGCCTCGGGATCCTTCTGAGTGTCGGTGATGATGAGTGTACCTCCGTTTGCAAGGCAGTAGAATATCTGGGCAAGTGAAATGTCAAAGCCCACGGAGCTTTGCTGTAGCACTATCTCTCGTTGCAGGCCCAGTCTTTCAGATGCAGCCAGAATTTGGGTCATGTAGTTGGCATGCGTCAATTGGACACCCTTGGGTTTGCCAGTCGACCCGCTAGTGAACATGATGAACGCATTCAACCCCGCTTCACTGCGGTCCGAGATTATCTTCTCAATTCGACTCGGCAAAGATGTAAGGTCGACCTTGGTTCCAACCTCGAGCTTTTGAGCAACACCGGCGGTCTCTTTGTCATTGACGAGAGCACTCAGCTGCGCCTCATCACAAATTAAGGCCAGACGCTCGACAGGCATGCTGGAATCAAGAGGCACATAGACAGCCCCAAGACGTAGGATGGCCAGAAGTGCACACACCATGTCCGACGATGGCTGACAGCAAACTCCAATGCGCGATCCAGGTTGCACAGCAGGAAGAGTATCGAGTGCCGCGGCAATGGCGTTGACTCGATCGCCCATCTCACGATAGGTAAGAATCCTCCCTACAGGATCCTTCAATGCAAGTGAATTTGGCTGAGTCTCAACCAGGTGATTGATTCTCTTAGACAGCGTGTCAGGCCAAGTAGTCTCGATATCATCGCCGATGCCCAGTAAAATCGACTCTTCAGATGCAGTCTCCGGGAACAGGGTGTAGTCACTAAGCCGCATAGTCGGGTCTGCAGCGGCTTGCTCGAGAATGTGTACATAGGACTTCATCAGCAACTCGCCACCTGTGCGATCAAACAAATATTCAAGAAGACCCAATGACAAGAAACCGCCGGTGCCATCGTCTTTCTCGTCGACAGAGACCGCGATATCATAAGGAGTGCGCGTGTCCTTGTAGTCATGCCATTCAAGGGCGATATCACCAATGGAGCTTTGCTTGAGGGCGCCCATCCGATAATTGAAGATTGTTTGGAACAACGGAGGAGAGGTAGTCAATCGAGTAACGTGGAGGTCATCGAGGATAACATCAATCGGGATGTCCGAGTTCCCAAGTGCAGCGTAGACAGAAGTGCGAGTCTGCTGAGCGAGATACTCAAAGCTCGGGTCATTTGCAAGGCTGAAACGCAGCGGCAGGAAATTCAACAAAAATCCAATCGTCTGCATGAAATTGGGGTCATTGCGGTTGGCGTCCACAAGACCGATGCACTGATCGTCGACACCGAGGAAGTGGTGAAGCATAACTTGGAAGGCCGTAAGATAGAAGTGCAAGGTCGTACACTTTGCTTTCTTGCTGACAGCTTTGATTTTATTCGTCAAAGAAGCGTCAAGGGGTTGCACAAGGTCAATGGTCGCGTAGTTGGCCATCTCCCTGCGTGAACCGGTCTTTACAAAGGGGAACAAAGGAAGGGATTCCGGTAGGTCATGCAATTGACTCTTCCAGAACTGAAGCTGCTTGGAATAGGCACCCCTAGTAACAGCCTGTCGCTGCAATTTGGCGAACAGAGAGTATTGAACGGGACTCGAGGGCTTTGTCGACGAGGTATAGTGTAGCTCAATGTCCTGAAGGGTGAGTTGCCAGCTAACACCATCCATGATGATATGATGATAACCAAAGATGATGGTGTGATAGTCGGGAGCATGGACCAAGAGAAAGGCTTGGAAAGTATCACCATGCTCAAGATCGTAAATGTGATTGTGCATGTTGTCGAATTCACGTTTAACATCACTCTTGTCGTTTGTCGATCCCAGGACACGAAGCCTGAACTTGCTTTTTCTCAGAATGACTTGCTTGGCCTCCCCAGTGAAACTGTCAGTATGAAACGAGGTGCGGAAAGACTCGTGTCTTTGTGTGACTCTTTGAAGTGCAGATTCCAGTCTATCAAGATCCAATGGTCCCTTGAGACGATAGGAAGTAGTGCAGTTGTATGTGGTCTTGTCATCGAGGTAGATAGAAGGGAACCAGATACGGGACTGTCCATAAGACATGGAATCAATTTGCAACCAAGGTGGCATAACAGCCTTGCCCACACTCAGAGACTCATTATCGGATGTATCGGGGGTCTGTTGTGCTCGGGTGTCGCCATTTGCTGAGCTTTCATCGGACGAGCCGCTCGTCCCAAGAGGTATCTTGTCTTTGAAATCATCCCCAACCTCACTTGAATTGTTCGGTAGTGCCTGGTCAACAGTCGAAATGTTTTCATGCGGCTCGGGAATAGGCTCATCCCTAGCTAGCTGGTCGCGAGCAGCGACGTTCTCAGCAAGAATATCAACTGCTAGCTCGTCACATACTATAGAAAACTTAGTATCTTCAGTTCAGGCAAGAGCCAGAATGAGCCTTACGGTCTGCAAAACTTCCACCTCCCAAAAGCTTCAGGACAGGTACATCTTGTCCGATTTCTGTCAAGAACCATGATCGAATTTCAACTGCCACAAGCGAATCTGCTCCCATTTCGAGCAGTGATATAGACTTGTTCACATTGTCTGGCGGTAGCTGTAAAGTCACTGCAAGTTCAGCAGAAAACATGTCTTGTAGTATGCTCGAAACTTCTTCGACATTGTCAGCCTTGCGAAGCTTGGTCTTGGGCGATGCGTCGGAGCCAGTGTCCAGTGTCCTTTTTAGGTTGGACTCGAAGCTGTGATGAGAGAAGCGTGGGTTGGCAATCCAGCTTGGTCGCTTGCTGGTATCCGATAGGTCGATCTTGGCCAGGCCGGTCATGATCTGGGAGCGATCGCCCATGGTCGGGTGGCCACCAAAAATGCCTTCGGAGAAAATGTCCCGGATGTCGTGCTCGGAGATTGCCATCAAATTCTGCTTTCCGAGGAAATGCTGATATGTCCCCTTCTCCTCGCTGCGGCGAATGTAACCGATTCCCATGACCATTCCAATGTCGACGACGGAGCCGGCCACGCCCCGCGCTTTGCGCTGAGCAGCAAGGCCAACCATAAACTAAGAGAAATCTTGAGTATCATAAAATGCTTACAGAAAACAATCACGTACCTGATTGGCTGAGGCGTAGTTCGCTTGTCCGGGATTACCTAGTGAGGGTGAGGGTGAACATTAAGGTTCTCACTGCGTGAACAGACATTGACTTACCAATGACAGCAGCCGTCGAAGAGGTCATGATGAAGAAATCCAATGGGGAATCCCCAAATACTTCATCAAGATTCTTAGATCCATCAACCTTAGGTTGGAGCACCCTGCGGAAAGTCTCATCATCCATGTCAGCGAAAGGTTGGTCGCGCATAACCATGGCTCCATTCACAATGCCAGCAACCGGAGGCAATATATCTTTGAGTTTTTGGACGAGGCGAACAACATCGGACTTGATTGTTACATCGCAGGGCTCAATGTGCAGGTCAGTTCCCAATGAGCGAAGCTCGGCCTCCCATCGGGTGCCCCTTTGAGGATTTCTGGAACTTCTGTTAGATGAAATCCTCCATGTTTCTCCTCAAATCATTCAGAGAAATTTCAATACTCACCTGCTGGAAATGACAATGTGATGAGCACCATTTTTCACCATCCACCTGCACAGAAATTTTCCTAATTCTCCTGTCAACCCCATAAGAAGGTAAGTCCTGTTACTAGAAAACAGTTTGGAGGAATTCAGCGGCTGAACAAGGGTGGACAATTTTTCGTCACCACTCCAATCGATTGTCGTCAGCGGAGATCTCACGGGGGCCTCCTGGAGTAGTTCGCTTGGTCGCACTTTTGGAATATCTTGAGTCACAATGTAACCCGCGCTTGCGATCAGGTCTTTCCACACGTCTTCCGGTGTGTTGGGACATTGCGAGGCATTGTCGTTGAAAACAGCATCGGATGAGAGTACGATACAGTTATGGGGCAGAACAGCCCGTAACCGTTGCAGACACTTTTCACTGGCGGCAATGTCGATGAGCATATTTGTATCCCTGGGAAGACTCGACCGTAGCATCGACTTGGATGCACGGGGGTGAACGTAGAGTTGAGGGATATGAGGCGACAGAACGTCGTCATGAGGTCCATCAGTAGCCACAAAGATCCGCTTTCCGGCCGCTTGCGCCATATCCCAGACAACGCAGGCAAGATAGTTGTCGAGTCCATGGAAAACGGTGGAGCCAGATGAGGAGGCCAAGTCTACCATCCGTCGAGCGGCGAAGTATCTCAAGGCGACTTCAACCGAGATGCTTGAAGCGGAGGGCACTTCAAGGGAGTACGTCCATGATGTGGGAACATTCACAAGTGAAGCATTCTGAAGGATCAAGGCTAAGTATTGAGCCCCATTCTCCAGATCCGACCCGAGTGCTACAAAGACGGAGGCGTCGTCTGCAAGTCGAACGGCGATCAATGAGCTTTCCTGCAGATGTAGAGATCTATGATTGACCTCAGGGGAGATGAAACTACTTCGCTTCAAGCCTTTGACCGCGGTATACCTAGTGGCACCACTGCCCAGGGTTGCCTTGTGGAGTACAACCTCGACCAGAGAAGTGTTTACTTTTCTTTGTAGAAGCCTTTTCGCGGAGTTGAGACGATCATTGAGCTCCGCCACGGGCACGACCCGAGGTAACAGGAAAGAGCCTTGTTCCAAAACCAGTTCCTGCTCTGCAGACCAGAGAAGAGCTGGATCGTTTCGAAGCTTTTTGGTTTGTATAATCACCAAGCGAAGAAGACATTCGGCGAGAAAAAACTCTTGGCTATCGGTATTCCCAACGTCTAGGCACTGTAGGTGCAGTTGCGGTGTCTCCGCTGCAATGACGCGAAGAAGACCCAGGGACGCGGCATGATAAGGGTTCTTTTCTCGATATCCCTGTAGGATCCACAAGACACTAGGAACACGCTCAAACACCAGTTTGAGATTGCGCCAGGAATCTTTGGTGACGTTCTTCACGAAAGGAGCATCAAGGTCATTCAAAGACAGAACAGCTATAACGTCTTGCAAAGACTTTTCTTTCAACTTGTCAAGAGACTCTACAGTCAAGATAGAGTGAAAGTAAGACTCGAGAAGCATCTCAAGTTGACCAATCAATCGGCACGTCTCCAAGGACTTCCCGCCGAGAATCAAAAGCTTCCCAGGAATAGTACCTATTGTCTTCCGAGAATGAAGTGGTTTTCGAAGAGACTGAACAGTCTTATCTGTGGCCTGAGACACAATTACAGACATTTTAGGCTCTGAGTTGTCGCTGACAACCGCATCAACACCTGAAAAGCGTGTTTGGCGCAGCAGTTGATTCCAGGTGACTAGAGAGACCGTCTTTGCTTCAGACCGATGTTCATCTTCGAGTGACCACCATTGTGGGATAAGAGACATTGTGAAGGGGTAATTAATTGCATTTCCAGTGGGTTCGAAAAGAACAGAAAAACCACCGGGCTTCAACAATTCGCGAAGGCTCGAGAGGGATTGACGGATGGGGAGAGACATAGGTGTCACACCGACCGCAATCACAAGATCGAATGATCCACCCTTAAAGCCCTGTGCTTCAAGATCCTCGTTGAAGTCTAGACTTGTCAGCAAAACCTGACTGGGCAGATCATCGTGGACATGCGCCAAGTAGTTCGGGGAGGTGGTGTGAGCAACGGTGTAAGTTGAGAAAGTACCGTTTAGTTCTCGAAGGATGTGCTTTGTTGCTCGACCTGCGTGTGCACCTACCTCCAGTATCGACATTCGAGGATGTTTGTGAGCAATCTGCCTTGCGACTGAGCCAATTTCGCGATAGGCCAAAGCCAGAGTCGAGCCATATTCGAGGGCCTGATCAAAGATGCCCGCAATTTGGTCGTCTTGCCAACCTGAATCGCCACTCACAATAGACGGGAGTCTCTCTCCGATGGCCTTGCTCAATCTCAGATCATGGCTGTCTGGATACTGTTTGACTAGATTGGCAATTTCGTCCTCGGTGTCGCTTGCCCATGCGATTTTACTGATTGCATCATTTGCTGGTTGCTGAGAAGCGACACCACGCGCAAACTGAACGAGATTCTCATACTCGGCTACAATGCGGGACAAAGTGCCTTCCCTGACAAGCTCTCTGAGATAAAAGTGAGCAACACGCTCGCATGCTTCCGTAGGTGCTTGGGTTGTAGAGATATCAACCCTGCTGCGGCGAGCACTGAGACCACTCATGATGTCCAGTTCCCAACGGTCCTCGAGGAAAAGTTGACGATCATCATTCTCGGAGCCAACAGCAAAGGAGCTAACTGATAGGTCCTCGATCAGAATTTGCATTTGCCCCGTCTTCTCGTTGAACACGTGAAGATCTCCGCACAAAGCCGGCAGTTGGAAAGTGTTCGCGGTCACGACATTTGTCACCACGGCATCAACGCTGACACTGGACTTTGCGGCAAGGCTGGCCTGACACTCAGGGATAGTGAAGAGAATGCGGCCAATTTTGCGAGGCAAAAAAGATGTTTGGAGTGACCCGTCATCTGGTGAAGCATATGCGGCGAATATTGCCTGGAAGCACACATCAAGGGTGGTAGGGTGGATGAGAAACGAGCCGTCTCCCTCTTCTGGAGGATCAATCCGAATTGTCGAATTGTACAGGCGTCGCTGTGCCGCTTGAATGCCCCGAAACGAGCCGGAGTAGTTCAGTCCAATACTCTTCATCTGGTCATAAAAATCATCGACGTTCATGGGATACAAAATGGGACGGATCTTGCTTTTGGCTGGAAGGCCCGTGCCCATTGATGAATCTAGAAACACAGACAACTTTCCAGTAAAGATCCTCTTGATCGGTGCCGAGCCGTCAGCAGGGCCAGAAAAGCAGGTGTACTCTGCCTGGATGACAGACTTGTTTGAGCCATCTTGAGTGTGTGTCTGGTGGAGGTTGAAGAGTACCTCGGCTCCAGGCGGGCCATCTGGGACGGTTATAGCATTTTCGAAATCCAAATCAGTGATCTCAATGGCTTCAATTGGCACGTTCTTGCTCAGGGACTGCGCTGCACCCACTGCCATCATACAATAGGCTGCTGCGGGAATAATTATCTGACCCTGGAAGCGGTGATCACGAAGCCAGTGTACCTCATCCGCTCGAAGTATGTTGCGCCAGCGAGGATTCTCATCGACATCACCAGGAAGTCTCGTGCCTAGAAGCTCGTGGAACGGAGGCCGGTTTCGGTATTGCGTGGAAAGACGTCCTTCTCTCCAGTGGACCTGGTTATGCTCCCATTGATAGGATGGAAGGTCTTTGGGAAACATGCGTCGTCGGGAAATATCATCGCCCATGGCTGTTGCAAATCCATTTACATCGATGGCACTTGCAGGGAGATGCGTCCACAAGAATCCCAAAAGACTGCCAAAAGAAACGACATCATCTTTTCCGCGATGTAAGGCACCCTGGTATGGCGGTGCATGGCCAGCAGCTTCTTTGATAGTCTGTGTTGCCGGACCCTTGAGCGCAGCGTGCGGTCCCACTTCGATACAAATGTCAAATGGTCCTCGCCTTTCATGCGCAGCCTGGACGGCCTCATAGAAAAGAACCGGCTTCACCATGTTGTCGCGCCAGTAGGGGCCCGAAAGGTCTTCTTTCCTCGGTCGCCCGTTGTCACTGCTTACGCTAGAAAGCCAAGCACACCCTGGCTTGGATGATTTTGGCTTGATTTGGATAGCTGCAAGCGCTTCCAGATAGGGCTCTGAGCACGGATGCATATGCGTGCTGTGGTACGCAGTGTCTACCTTCAGTGCCCTTGCAAATTTCCCATCTGTATCCAGAGCACTCTTGGCTGCCAGGATGGCATCAAGGTCACCGGAAAGTGTAACGCTGGATGCAGAATTGCTTGCAGCCACCCCTATGCGACCCTTGAATGGAGGAAGGTTGCAGAATTCTTTCGCTTCTTCGAGGCTCAGGCCTGCGGCCAGCATTCCACCCTTTTGACCATCCGAGCCACATGCAAGACTAGCGAAATAGCCGCGGTAATAGGCGATCCGAATGGCTTCATTGGCAGTTATGTACCCGCTGGTATAGGCTGCTGCAATCTCACCAGAAGAGTGACCCACAATAGTGTGAAACGAAACCCCAGCTGCATGTAGGAGGTTGACCGTCGCGACTTGGACAGCCGTACATAATGGCTGGGACAAAGCAGCCTCTTGCAAACGAGAGGATGACGATGGCGCCATAATTTCCTTCTCCAGTGACCACGAAGGCGGATGTGGCAATTCAGACAGATGACTTTCCAATTCCAGTATTGTCTGTCGAAAGAGTTGCGAGTGAAGAATCAAAGCCCGACCCATAGTGGCCCACTGAGCACCTTGTCCAGTGAAAACTCCCAGGATACGAGGACCAGCCTCGATATCGTGAATCTTCAGGCGAGTGCCCGAGTCGACACCGCGCTGGATTGCAGCATTCATCTGCGCGATAACGTCCTTCTGAGAACCAGGGGAAAACGCAACCCTGACGGGGAAGAGAGAGCGACGCTCAAGCAATGCCCAAGCAAGGGATTCTAAGTCTACCGAATCGTGCGAATTTAAATACTCCGAGTATGCTTGGAGCATACCGAAGAGAGACTGCTCAGTATGGGCAGATAGGACAATTGGAATGGAAAACGGACGCTCAGATATGGTTCCATCCATAGCATGCTCCTTATCTTGCAGCTTCCCATGAAGGGCTGGGTCATAACGCTCAAGAATGACGTGGCTGTTGGTACCACCAAAACCAAAAGAGTTGACACTTGCTCGTCGAGGCGTGTGGGCCTCAGTTGTAGGCCAGATTTGCGGTACAGTTGGAATCTCCAAATGGGAATACCAGGGTTTCACGTTGGGATTAAGTGACCTCAAGTGCTGGTTGGGGGGAACAATGCCGTTTTGCATTGAGAGCATAGCTTTCATCACTCCTGCCACGCCGGCGGCGCCCTCTGTGTGACCAATGACAGTCTTGATCGACCCGACAAGAAGTTTTTCTCCGTCGTGACTTTCCTCGTTGAAGAAAGCTCGGCTAATGGCGGATGCTTCCAGAGGATCGCCTGCAGGTGTACCGGTACCATGAGCCTCGAAGTACTGGCAGCGTTGATCTGGATTCAGGGGATCCAACCCAGCTTTCTTGTAAGTGGCTCTGATCAAAGAAAGCTGAGCGTCAGCACTAGGCATTGTAATGCCTCGAGTACGACCATCCGAGTTCACGCCGGTTTCCCGGATGATGCCCTCAATGTGGTCTCCATCTGCCAGGGCACGAGAAAGAGTCTTTAGAAAGATGGCCGCAATCCCTTCACCCCGAGCATATCCGTCGGCATTTTCATCCCACATCTGAGACCGGCCAGAAGGAGAAAGCATATGCAGATTCGATTCTGCTTGATAGTACTCCGGGCTCAAGAGCAAGTTAGCGCCAGCGGCACAAGCAGCAGTACTCTCGCCGGACCGTAGACTCTGGACAGCTTGATGGATTGCCACTAAGCTTGACGAGCATGCAGTGTCGATCGTCATTGAAGGTCCCTTGAAATCGAAAAAATAAGAGACCCGGTTCGAAATAATTGCCCGAGATGCACCTGTGGCAATGTATTGCGGGAGGTAGTCGGGGTCCTGGAATTGGATGTCGTGGAAATCATTGCACATGAGTCCCACGTAGACTGACGTATGACTGCCTTCCATGCCTTTCAGAGTCAAACCGGCGGATTCCATGGCCTCATACACCGTTTCCAGGAGAAGTCGTTGCTGTGGGTCAATTGCCTCCGCCTCCTTCGGAGTGATATTGAAGAAGGTCGCATCGAACAGACGGTGGTCTTCCTCGAGAAAGTAGGACTGGGTGACATTGCTCGTTGTATGATGCTCTGGGTTGGGGTGATAGAAGCCATCGGCGCTAAAACGCGTCGATGGAGGCTTTCTTGAGAGATCCCGAGGGTGGTGCAAAAGATCCCATAGCCTGGAAGGAGAGCTGGCGTTGCCTGGGAATCGACAGCCAGTTCCAATGATGGCAATGGGCTCGTTTGTCCCACTCATTTTGGTCTATAGTTCGTCTGTATCTCCGACCTTTCCCAAATGAGTTAGCTTTCTTCAAACATGGCGCGAATTTTCGACCTACTTGTTTTTATCTTTGTTCAACAGGCTTTAATTGCTTCGGTGAGCGACAGGATATCAAAAGAAAGTGAAGCGAATGATTCGATCCGGTATCCTACGCAGATTGTAAACTAGTTATCCATAGCCTCGTCTTATCAACTCAGCTCCTGGGCATCGGGCTGAGAAAGCACGCACGACACATCGCCGAAGCGTATATCTGCCTCCGCACGAGGGGAGTGGATTCAGGACGTGCTTTACACGAGAAATCCCCGATTGGTGCAATTTTCGGACGTAGGGACATAAAGCAGCCCCCAAGACCGAGACTAAGACCAAACGAGTCAATTACTAGATTGAGAAAGGTGGCCGATCTCATTTTGCCCCCTGGTCGGTGGGACGGCATATCGGGAGAATGGCCATGATAAAATCGGAGCCGTGTGTGGGGAGGTCTCGCTCACCACATCGAGGTAAATAGTTGACGAGCCCCTTTAGCAAACGGGCTCGATAAACTTGACCATGCATACACAACGCGCTATTATCGCAGAAGGCCCTAGCAGGGTCCGAATCGACTCCGATGTCGAGATACCTCAACCCGGTGACAACGAGGTATTGGTCAAAGTTCATTCGGTCGCTCTCAATCCGGTGGACTGGAAGACATTGGCCTACTCCAGTACCCCAGGAGCTGTCAGTGGGTGTGATTTTTCAGGAACCATCGCAGGTCCTGCCGGCCCCAAGAGCCAACGGGTATGGAATGCAGGGGATCGAGTTTGTGGTTGGGTGATGGGGGGAAATCCTCTTCGCCCCTCAAATGGTTCCTTCGCCGAATATGTTGTGGCAAAGGCCGACTTGCTCTTTAAGATCCCCGATGGAACCTCTTTCGAGACAGCAGCAACACTTGGAATCAGTGCCTCAACTGGTGGCCTGGCCCTCTTCAAGACCCTCGGCCTCTCCTTCGCCGAACGCAAGGTGACGCCTTCCTCGCCTGCCGTGTTAGTTTACGGAGCAGCAACCTCGTCGGGCATAATTGCCATTCAACTTTTGCAGCACGCCGGATATCGAGCCATCGCGGTCTGTTCGCCGCAGAATTTCGGCCTGGTCAACGACCTTGGGGCTGAAGTGGCATTCGATTACCACTCGGTCACATGCGGCAAGGACATTCGCGCATATACTCATGATGATCTTGGACACGCTTTGGACTGTATCTCGAGCACGAGCAGCATGGGCATCTGCTATGACGCGTTGCGCAGTCAACCGGGCGCACGCTATGTGTCGCTCGACCCATTTCCTGACCGAGTGCAGCGCTCACGACCGGAGATTCTCGCGGATTGGATTCTCACATTCAGTTTAACCGGCGATGAAGTGGGGCTTGCGGGCGTTTTCCACCGAGATCCAACCCCTGCTGATTATTCCTTCGGTGTTTCATGGTATCCTAAGGTTGACCGAATGCTAGAAGAAGGAAAGCTTCGACCTCACCAGCCGACTATTATGGGTGGAGGGCTGGCGGGGGTGGCCGATGGTCTGGAGAAGCTAAAGAAAGGAGAAGTTCATGCGTCGAAGCTAGTGTACATTGTTGGAGAGTAGTCAAAGAATTTGATTTTGATCCGGGCGCGTGACTTCGATTTTCCACACGTTGTAAACACAACCGATTAATAACGTCTTCATTGACATCCACCTGGGCTTTCAATCTCCAATTTTTACTTGATTATTTCCCATAGTATCGTACTTTTGCCTTCGAGAAATTCCAGTCTTCTCGGTGGAGGATTTACCAAAAGGAAATGGAAATGTGGAACTGAACACGTATACGCTCAATAAATACGTGTACACCAGGTATTTTCTATCTTTTGGAATAACTCAATCCCTTCACGATGATATTCTCCCCTCAATACACTATCTCCCATCTAGGTAAATTGCAGAAACGAACCCAACTTCGCGCTATCCTCCCGCAGCTCAAGGAAAGGAAGCCGCCGAAAGGACAGCGGCGAAGTACATGATCCAAGCGGGTCCATCAACAGTAATAATGCGGGTGAAGTTCATATCGAGCCACTCATGGGTTGTTTGAGTGTTCTTAACCCCCGGATTCTCTTTGTCGCACATCCGTGCGATGATCTTCATCGCACCCGGTCCATAGAGGAAGTGGCCGGCCGAGAAAGCCGCCCCAGCCCAATAGAGATATCTTGTGGTGTCATCAAGATCTCCAACGTACTTCCCCGCATTTAGAAGAGCTGTGGCAAAGGCAAGCGGGTACGAGAGACCCACGGCGTAGATGGTGGTGTCAAAGAACCCCGAGAACCAGTGTGGGAGAACAGATCCACCGGTTTTGGCGAGAGGAGGCTTCGAGAAAGGCCGGAGTGCGTTCGCTTGGTCGACGCCGCACATCAAAGAGGCAGTGGAAAGGACTAAAGGGGCCAATCTCAGGAGATTGAGGCCGAGGTTGTGGGTTTCGATTGTCATGGCGTAGTGAGTATGGGTGTTCTGCGGATACTGGGCTGCTGACACTTGCGCGTAGTTTTATTTAAGAAGTCCCTGGCCATTATCATACGATCCGATCTTAATCTGGAATTTTCTTTTGCACTTTCTGTCACTCGAAAAGAAAAGGTTTCGGCGATGTTATGAATGCACCCGAATTGATTCGGCGAGGATGGATGCCGAATCGCCAATGGCCCCCATCCATTAGTCGACACGAGTGCAAAACCATGAGAATCTTATATAATCAAATGATATAGCCCTGGAGGGAATATGTTTAACATGTCGCGCGCTGACTGCATTCTCAGTGTTGTCATTCCGGTTTCGAGTTGTTCTCCAGAATGTATCAATTCTTCAAAGACGCCTTCTTCAACTTCGAACTCGTCCGCTTGCTCGGATCCACAAGCTTTGGTGGATGTGAAATTGGTGAAGCACTCGAGGCCCTGCCGGACATTCGAGAACAAAATCCAGAAAGCTGGTATAATGCGTGGTCGAAGGCAGGGTTGCGAGCAGAAAGACTTGCCCACGAGGCAGAGCAGCAAGGGAACCGAGTCGCCCGCCATAAAGCTCTGATGCGTGCCTCCAACTACTTTCGCGCCGCGCAATTTATGCTGAACTCTCGACCTGACAAGCGCATTCTTGATACTGCGGAGCGCTCGGTTCACAATTTCAAACAAGGCATACATCTACGGGAAGGACCCGTATACGAGATTGAGATCCCGTACGAGAGCATTCGTCTGCCTGGTTATCTATACCTGCCTCCGGCCTCTAAGCGTCTACCGGGTGGGAAAGCCCCTATCGTCATAACGACCGGTGGCTTAGACTCGACTGCCGAAGAGCTCTATCTCGTTGGCGGAGCATCTGGCCCGGATCTCGGGTACGCGGTACTCATATTTGAAGGACCCGGCCAAGGCATTGTTCTACGCCGAGAAGCACATTCATATATGCGACCTGACTGGGAAACCGTCACAGGACCAGTTCTCGACTTCCTTTACACCTTTGCCACACAACATCCTGATCTCGGGCTCGACCTAACCCGAGTTGCTCTCCACGGCGCTACCTTGGGAGGCTACTATGCGCTGAGAGGCGCAGCCGACCCACGAATCTCCGCCTGCATTGCCGTGGACCCGTTCTATTCCATGTGGGAAGTGGCTATTACCCGCATGCCAGCTCCTTTCATTAATTCCTGGACGTCAGGCTGGCTGAGCGATGGGGTCTTCAATGGTACCTTGGGCCTGCTTTCCAGGTTCAACTTTCAGCTTAAATGGGAGTTGAACCAAGTACAGTGGGCCATGGGAATGAAAACTCCAGCAGATGCTATGCGACGAATGCAGGACTTTACGCTACAAACCGCCGATGGTGGTGAGTATCTTCACCAGGTCAAGTGTCCTGTCATGATTACCGGCGCTGCAGCATCTATCTACGCGACAGAGGATCCTAGTGCAAACAAGATTTTTAGCCGATTGAAGCATCTTTCCGAGAGTCAAAAACATCTCTGGGTTGGCAAGGAGATAGCCGAGGGGGGACTCCAGGCAAAGGTTGGCGCTTTTAGCTTGGCGCAGCATCGGATCTTTGCGTTTCTGGATCGGCAATTTGGGATTCACCGGAGCATATAGTTGTATAATGTCACGGGAAAATATTTACTCGCAGAAATTCACAATACAAGACAAATTTCGCTTTCCCTTAAAGATTTGAGGACCGCTTTGACTTTGTAGAAAAAGAAAACAGCCGGCGAATTACTTACCACCAAAAAGTGCCTATTTCAGGCCCTTTTTCCTCTATATATTTATATAGTAACTTATTTTCAAAATATTTTCATGTTAATTATTTGCCAATTCTAAAAGCAAGATATATATAAATTATATCTGCAAGTACTTTTTGTATCGAGCTGCTAATTTTTAAAGTTTTGGAATTGATTTTTGTCAAAAGTTAACTATGGGGCTACTATATATAATTGAGGTTCAATTTAGAAACTGGAATTTAAATAGTTCCACTCAACAGCTATTTATATTAAGTGATCCGGAAGCAAATATTTTGTTAATCTGATACAAAAAATTTATTACTATTTGAATTCGTAGAGGAAAATAGGCCTGAAATCGGCACTTTTTGGTGGTAAACAGGGCAGTGGGTAAAGACTCATAAACAGGGGGTGTAGGCCAAGCTCACGACAAGGATTTGATGGCCCCGGGGCTTCATTGGTTTTAGTCTTCGCTAGAAACGACTTTCACATGATAAAAAAACAGATAAAGTCAAATTTCCCGTTCCTTAATTATGTGTCCTTTGTACTCGGGATTTGAACTTTCAAAACAAGATCTGCGATTATATAGAACCAGTACCGAAAACTTCACTCTCTAATTTATCCAACCCTTCATCTTCAATCTTCAAACACCCTTGTCTATACCTCAGCGGCGGTTTCCTTTTCCTTGCCTTCCTTCTCATCCTTGATTCCATACTCCGTCTCCAATTCGGTCCGTAGTGTCATCTCCTTCTCAAAGAAGGTAATGATGAATCCCAGAGCAGCAAAAGCTAGCGAGACATACCAAACCAGCTTCAGGGTATCAGTGTACACACTGACTACCTCTCGTTGAACTTGAGGAGCAAGTGACTTAATAAAAGTTGAAGAGACGTGAGAGTAAGCTTCTCCACCCGCAAGTTGCGCCGAAACAGCGGGGTCTGAAATACGGCCCGACAAGCGCGCGAACTCGGTGTTGAAAATAGCAGCTGGAATTGCAATTCCCCAGATAGCACCGTAACTGCGAATAAACGCCTATGTCGCCGTCGCGAGTCTAACATCCTTCTCTTCTAGGGGAGCCTGCACTGCAGCTAGAGTGGTTGTGAGCAGAAGACCCAAGCCAATTGCAGTGATGATTTGGAAAATGATCTACTCTGCTGGACTAGAGTCGGTATCGAAGAGAGTAAAGAGACCTAATCCTAAGAGAATCACAGCCGTAGCGACGATATGGATAGGCTTATAGCGGCCCCATTTAGTAAGGAGGCCACCTGCGACAATGGCAGTCGGCACAGCGAGAATCACACTAGGTAGAAATTGTACACCGGCGCGAGTAGAGGTAGAAAGCTTTACAGCCTAGAAGTACACCGGTACAAAGTAGATCACCCAGAAGGTAAGCATATTATAGATAAAGGATACAACCAAGGCAACGAATAAAGTACGGTGTCGAAATATATGTGGTGGCATCATAGGTTCCCGACACTATAGACTGGCCTCAAACGCGTGGAATAGAATCATACCAATAAGACCGAGAACCAAACAGACGATAATCCGCCAGTTTGACCAGGCGTAGGTAGTACCGCCCCAGATAAGAGCGAGGAGAATAGAGACGATAGAAGTCATAAGAAGTGCGTTGCCAATATAGTCGATCCGCTTGACTTTTTCTTGCCATGGCTCTTTTTGGTAGTTGACATAGAGAAAGAAAAACAGGCAGATAATCGCCGTTCCGCTAATAGGAAGGTTAAGATAGAACTTTGATCAAACCGTGTTAGCCTTGCCATTCTCCCAGATATAAACGGGGCTTAGATACTTACAACCCATCTCCAGGAACTATACTGTACAATAACACCCCCAATAAATAGACTAAGGGAGGTACCGACGGCGAACACAGCGAAGATCATACCCATGAAGTTTCCTCGCTCGCGTAATAGAAGTATATCGCTAACGATCATATCGATCATTACATTAATACCGCTACCCCCAATTCCTTGGATTGATCGCCCAGCAATTATTATGGGAGAATTGATCGCGCCGCCGCTGATGCCGCTGCCGAGGACGAACAAGGCCACCGAGCCGATCATCAACCATCGTCGACCAAAGAAATTCGCAGTCTGTCCGAAAAGGGGCTGAAAGCAAGCACTTGCCATTAAATGTATTGTTAATTTATTTTCTTCATTAACTCGGGTTGAAAGATGGTATGTGACTTACCTCGTCAAGAAGAAGGAGTTGACAAACCAGACGTAGTTCTTGCCTGCATACAACTCATCCGCGATGAACGGCAACGCGGTCGACGTGACCGTTGACTCGACCGCAGCTAGTAGGACTGACACGCATAGTGATAAGTAAATTGCCCAGAAGCGCCATCCTCTACCCTGCTTCTTCTCGACAGACTGGGTACTAGTGTCCGAAGCATTGGACATGTTGACGTTAAGTACGGAGCACAAAGTCAAAGTTGATTGAGAAGTACGGAAGCCAGAAATCGAAGTTTTAATTGCAGGAAATAGCCATGGTCAGAAACTGATTTCAAAGAATAGGAGGTCTCTTTGTCAACATCGCCGATGCCGAATGGGTTCGGTCATTGTATATCAACTTCCCCATTGAGCGGTCTGGCCTGTGATTGGTCCTAGGTCGCCGAATATTTGGTAAGCTAGATCTGATTACAGATTGTGGGGTCAATCCATGGATACATGTGTAGATATTGAGATGTGCTTCATTCTTAATGCTTGTTAATATAAAGGGTTCCAAGGAATTTGTAGCAGTTCATCCGCTGATAGCCTGCAACCAAGTGTTTATTCGACAACACTACTGGGGCCTGGAAATAGTATATCGATGATCAATTGACCCCCTAGTCTGCCGTTTGTCTATTTACCAAGGGATCCCGACCGCACGCAGCTAGCAGCGCCATGCATATTTGAGATTGCCGCGAGAAATCTACAACATTTTTGGGCTCAATATTTCAGAACCATCAATCTCGAGTAGACGCATTTCAAGAATCAACCACGATCAGCAATTGATAATGGACGTAGAAATGTCTGTAGATAGCATGGGTTTGCATAGTCACGGCGATAGCATTTTGCAAAACAAGTATGTACATAGGGTGGGATTGGTCGCTCTAATACCTTACCCTTGCAGCGCTATTGTACCTAGTACTGGACCTTCCCGGGCGCGGTAACGCAAAGGGGAATGCCCAGGTGGAAGCAGCAAATCATTAAACTCCGAGGTCGTAGTAAGCCTCTTTTCTATTGCATTGCATTTACATTTACGCTTTCTATAGTGATCCATGTGCGTTAAAATAGGTTATTTAGAATTCTCTAAATGAGCCGATTAATGATGGTCTTATTTACTAACTTTGGAAGTACATTTTTCTTTCTAATATTTTAATGATTAGGTAGTGTGAAAACATACATACATATATATGCTTCTACAGTCAGTCACCTTAACAGTCAAGACCGTTGTGATGTGCCCCCGGGGCCTCCTAATTTACACCTTTAAAGGCTTACTAAAGTATGTGGTTTTCCGACCAGGTTAAATCATGAACCATCTATGGATATATATTTAATCATATAATATGGTGTCAGAGCACCTGAGCCTTTGTACAAGCGGATGAGGTCAGGAGGGAGGCGCTGCAGGGACTACGAGTAAAAACACAATGGTACTGGGGACCACTGCTTGTATTACTTTACTTTCATATCCAGCTCTCTGGCTTCGGGCAGAAGATCTAGCGGTTTTGCGGCAACTCTGGTAGGCCCGCCAATCTCGAAGTAATCATTAAAACTCCGAAAGTGGCTTCAGTGCATGACAGCGTGTACAAATAATATATACCATCACGGGAAAGAAGCTGAGAACGGTTAAAGTCGATATCGAGATAGGACCCCGCATTTCAGATGGAGTTGCGGCCGGAACAATGCTGCATACAGATCGAGTGCCACGTTTTCCATACATCGATCAGGTGCACGAATTGCAGCATCGAATACATACATGTGATTTATTGCATATATCTACAGACGCCTTACGGGTAGGGCAGCGGTATTGGTGCCATAATATGAATCACGTTATACACGTGACATCAACAGAAGGCAACACTTATGGAATACGTAATTCGCTTTCGCTTCGCTTTCGCTTCGCTTCCGAAATCGCAATCAATATCCAGGGTCTACGTCGACAATCTCCGTTCAGGATGAGACTTGCATAACTTAGCGCGTCCTGTTTCGTAGAGCCATAGGGACCCTCTACCCCAAATCTCAGGGTTAGCAGCGTCCCCCAGCAAATATCCCATAAATCATTTTCCATGTCAAAATAGGTTACTCTTTTTAGTAGTGTTATGTTGGTGAGGCTATATATATTAACATCCCTCGGATTTGCGTATTGATTTTCTACTTACTCGTGTACTTGTGTACTTATGTACTTGTGTACCCAAATCCTTCGCTTTTTTGCCCAAGCTTTCGGTCCGACCCGGATTAACCGCCTTGAACTCGAATCCACCCCCCCTCCCCAATATTTTTTGAGCTTAGCTCTCGAAATGTACGAACAACCATCGCGACAGGCTTGCGATCGCTGTCATGACCTCAAACTACGGTGTCACCGCAACGAGTCAGGGGAATGCAGCCGCTGTGTGAGAGCGGGCGCAAATTGCTTGTTTAGTCCTTCGAACCGCGGGCGTCGGCCCACCTATTAGGATCGCCGTAACGGTTCCCACGTATCTAAATAGACCAGCGACAGGCCGTTGGCTATGGGACTGGCGTCCCAGATGCCTTATTCACCGAATGCGCATTTAGGAGATATTGACTTGCTGAACAGGTTAAGTACCCCTGACCCCCTAGAATATACGGAGTCTGACCACTAATACCGGGGTCTGCTGCTAAGGGAATATACAGAAGATAATCGTCAAGCATTCACCGTCAACAGAACCCCGATTTCTGGTACAGAGACCCCCGAGCCGACGCTGTCGAACCTATACATGGGCGTCGACCAGGACATTTCCTTCCCGGAAAGCTTAACACCGCCTCTAAATCTTCCCGGAGCACCTTCGGGATCTAGCATATTCTCACGTTTTCCTGCCCACAATACGGCTCCTTACGCTTAAATCACTGATTATCAACTCTCTTTACTCGAATCGTTTCCCGGGCTAACTGTGCCCAAGTCTGGAAACAAAATCGGCCCGGACATCCCGCCACTGTCGTCTCAGAAATCGGAGCGATCGTTGGGACCCACTTCCCATCGCAAGATCGGTTTACAGACTTAATTTCTACAAAAATTCATAGAAGATCTTTTAGAGCTTGACATTGACTTAATTCGGCTTACGTCGATGAAACCCCTGCTATATAACCCAGCCCCGATAACTACCGAACCAGATAGCTCCAATTCCCCTTCGTCATCAGAATGTACAATCGACATCATTTTCCTTCTCACGCAACGATTGATCAAGCTTTTACGAGTAAATAGAAATTCCTCAGCTCAGTCGCCCGCTGTGCAGAATACGCATTAGCAAATGCTGCTTTCCGCATCCTCTACCTTTTCCTCGCGGTTCCAGCAGCTTATCGCTACGCCTCAAAGCACGCCTGGAACTTCAGATATGGAATCACTACAGCCAGGAACAAGGCTCGACTAACTGTCGCTGTTGTATACCTTATCTACGTACATGCGGCTGATCGAAGCTTATTATAATACTTTCTCGCAGACCGCTGAAAAGTTCGGTGCTGCGTTGGCCAAAGGCATGCCCATTCCACTGCCCTCGCTACAAATCGGGGTGTTTTCCGTCGATAATCCAGCGAGTCACATTGGGTTAGTAATCCAGTCAGCCTTGCAACTACTAGACAGCCTGGGGGACTCGGTGGACAAACTTACGGCGCCTTTTGTATCTAGCGAGAACGCCGAAATCGACACCAGTCAACCGTCTAGTCCATCCAGCGAGAATAACGCAATCAAAATGGTGATGAAGACGGTCCAGGAACACGAAAGCCGCTTAATGCAGGCTGCAGCACAATTGCAAAGCTGTTGCCATAAAGGTCGACAATCGCGTGAATAACGCTGGTGATGGCGAATACAATCGGAAATGTCTATATAGATATATAGAAGACAATGTCATCCCCAAGACAGTCACGACGTTTATACTGCCATGGTTGTTTTGCGCGTGTCGAATTTTAGGCGAGCAACGGAGGGGCGCTCGGCACTTTTCTAGTTATGAACGATGAATTATGTTAGACAGAAGAGAGGACTGCGAGCTTTTGCATTTTATCGGCGCTGTCTGTAATCATTTTTTTGACTTCACCGAATCGGCGAACTAACACCGAGCACTGGGCACAACTCGGCGGGCGCTGCAGGAACCGGCGAGGTCTTTCTGCCTACAAGGCCCTCCCTCTTGTATGACCAGCTGGATAAGATGTAAATTAAACCTGAGACGGATATAAAATAAAGAGAACATGAGTGACTTGCCTCCCGAGCCTATCATTTCAAAGCCACGAAACCATTTGAAGCCCCCAGAACATCCTTGTCTAATCCAACATGGCCCCGCAACGCCTTCTAAAGCTGACCCTCGCCCACCATCGGAACCCAGCTGCCTCCGAGGAAGAATGCCACCGCTTCATCACAGAGGTGTATATCCCTAAAGCAGTGGCGATTCATCAACGCCATAAGTTACAGGGCTATAGCTACGTAAGTCACCATTCTATTACAACATAATCCCCCACCCCCAAATGGCAGTCAAACCTAACATGCAAAAAGCACTTCTCCCCAACGCCAGTGCGGAATGTATTGAGCACCGCGTGCGAGCGTCTGCAAAACGGCTGGACAGTCGACACCCACGACGCGACCGTGGAGTTTTACTTCCGCGACATCGCGGACTTGGTGACTGTGTCCACCGACCCAGATTTCATTGCTCTGCAGGCAATCGAAGCGCCTTATATCAGCAAGGAGGGTGTCGTCGCCCAACTTGGATGGGTGGAAACCTACATCGCGGATCAGCAGGTGGTGAACTTGGTTGATGGGAAGTCGCAGTATCAGAGCTATGAAGAGGCGTCTTCTATTGAACTTACGCTGTGAAAATGTTGTTTTTTTAAGCAAATCTTCGAACCTTGCTAGTGTAGTTTTTATTATATGTTTCAATTGCCGAGGTCTATTTGTTTGCAAGCTATGTTTTGATCTATGGAACTATGTACATAAATCTCAAAACCCATGAAACTACGCTCGCATTCCTTGCTCAGATGATTTAGCGGCTAGTACCCGGAATATTAGGAGTATACTAGGGCACACGACGGTATGCTAGATCGGCCAGATTGGTATAATGATTTGGAAAATGCTATAGATAGATATGATGACGAGCTCAGGGCGGAACAAATTCTCTGACGGAAAGTTGACGTGCCACAGCATGTCTGGTGAGGGGCCGAGCATACGATCCCCACCCTGGACCATGTGTGACTCTTAAGGGATAATAAGACTTAGGGCGTTTTGCAGGTGACATAGATCAATCAATGAAATCGATGCTGATGGGGGTAGACTCCGGATTGCGTATGCGTTCATCCGCAAAAGCAAGCGATCTGTCCATGAGCAAGTCGAGGTCGAGGTTATGTTTAGCTGTCAGACCCTTCTCTTGAAGCTTGCAAACCGCAGCTTTCGCCCAGCTGACGCAGTTTTGCTCCGGCACAGCATTATTTTTAGGAACTTGAACCGCCGCGAGAAGACCGCGGATTTGCTCCCAGGTCACCTCATTCGGGACCTTTCCGATCATGACCATTCCGAGAAGACGGGCACTCGTAGTAGGAACACTGATTTGTTTCTCTCGAAAGAGCCAGTTGAATTCTGGGTTAAGATTGACTCTGTTCGGTGAATCTTCGAGGAGCACTCCGTCGCTCACGTCGAAAAAATAGCAACTTGACGCCTTTGACTTTTTGGGGCAAATGAGAATTCCCCAGTGGTATGCGGCATAGCCCAGCCGCTGCCTGTTCTCTCCGACAGAGAGAGAATTGCGATGTTGTATCGAAAGGAAGACTCGGCGTTTGTTGCGCATGCTAAGAATATTTTAGAACTAAGATGGTGTAGGATCAGTTCAGTGAGACGATATAAATACCCGCAATAGTGATCTAGCACTAAGAACCGAAATATCTTCTAAGCGCTGGACTATCAATAAGTAAATGATCACCCTTACATTGTAAGATTTGACATGTTTGGATTTGGCCGCTTAGTGATCATGTTGCGACCCCTGCAAAAGTCAGCCGGACAATGTTAAAGTTGTCAATTCTAAAGTTATATATACTATGGCTTCGCGCTTAAGTGGCTGGGGCTCTGATTAATTCATTGCGCTAACCGCTTTGGGCTAGCGTGTATACCTGAAAGTGAGACCTGAGTCATTTTCCGGAAGAAAGTATTTTCCAAAACCCGGGATCTGCTGGCAGAAAGCTGATCGGACCAGATCGTCAGCCGGGCTCTGACGCACTTGCGTCAAGGCATGACTTACCCTTTCCAACAAATCGATGGCCGACCACAGCTCTCCAAATTACAAAGATCTTTACCTTAAGGCAGAAGAAGGACGGAAGCAGGCGGAAGAACGCGAGAAGCGGGCGGGAGAACGCGAGAAGCAGGAAGCAGAAGGGAGACGGCAGGAAGCAGAAGGGAGGCGGCAGGAAGCAGAAGGGAGGCGGCAGGAAGTAGAAAGGAGGCGACAAGCAGAAGAACGCAACCAACAGACCTCTTTCACAGAGCTCTTGCAGCACTGCCATGACCTTCTGTCCCGCCAGTTGCGAGTCGAGACACCATCTCGCTCCACCACTGGCAAAATACCCCTTCCCACTGGAAAAGACTGCCCAACTCGATTGGAACATTGGGTCGACTGCCCAGAGCAGCTGCTAAGGGTCTACAGGTCTGTCTGCTAATATCTACAGTCGGAGCTAGGGCAGGCGCCACGTTTATTTTCGTCTCTACCGGAGCTAGAGGGACTTGGCCGTCGATTTGCTCGCAAGCCACTCAGTAGCGAACAAGATCTCGAGGCATATGAGCGGTTTGGAGTGGAAGAACATGTCTATGATATAATAGCCGAGTTGTGCAAAATACCGGCGGCCTGTGACGAGTTTGGCCTCGGTGATGGAATCCAGTTTAGCAATCACACAAATTCTTTGACCAGGAATGAAACCTTTGAAGCGGATACAAGCCAGGTGTCAAACACGCCTTACCCACGACCAGACCAGTTCTGTATTCATTGTGTCGACGGCAACACAACCACCGTGCTGACGACCGTCGAGTATAAGCCGCCTTACAAGCTGCCTGTCGCAACTCTTCGCATAGGACTACGACTAATGGATCTGTGGAAGAAAATGGTCAGATCAAATAAAATACCCACCGACCAGGATGCGAAGCTGAGGTACAATGCAGAGCGGCTTGTCTGCTCTGCTATCGTTCAAGAATACCACGTGATGATTCAGGAAGGACTCGAATATTCCTACCTGACAAATGGAATTATTCGTGTACTACTTTGTGTTCCACGAGACGAACCCACCACGCTGTATTACTTTTTTTGTGATCCCTATAACGAAGTGGACCTAATAGGCGATACAACTTATCAGCTGTCGAAGACCTCTGTTGCGAGGGTATTATGCCTTTGTTTGATGGCCTTCCGTTCACCTACCTGTGGGCAAGAGTGGAGAAATCGCTTGCGTCCCGATCTTTATACGTGGGAAACAAGCTTTGAACATACTCGTTCACAGATCCCGAGAAATGAATTACAGCAGATACCTCACTCCGATAGCACTAACCCTGAGTTCCCGAGCCTAGGGTCTGGTTTATCCTATGAATTACCGTCGTTATCTCCGCTGCCGTCTCCCTCAGAGGGCCGTCGAGTGCCCACACGCTCTCAAACCAGCTGTGCACCTTCGGAGATCCGACCGCGCTCGCGGTCACCTAACTCGTCCGAGTCCGATACAAATCAAATATCTGGCCATAAGCGGAGGATCAGTGAAGTCACGCCTTCACCGTCCGCTCGGCGATCAGGTCGCCAGCAAGAGTCAGGGCATGACCAAGAAGATCATTCCCGACGCCGCGCTGCACAATTTTGCACACAGCGATGTTTACTCAGTCTACAGACCGGAAAATCACTGGATGGGTCGTGTCCAAACGTGGACTATCACCGTCGGGGCCAAGACGACCCGACTCAGCATCCTATCTCGGTTGAAGATTTGATGCTTTCACTCAAGGGCCAATTGGACGAAAATATCGATCGTTGCATTCCTCTTGGCGGTTGTGGCTCCTACGGAGCCCCGTTCAAATTGACGTGCACGAAATATGGTTACACGGTCATCGGTAAAGGCACTACTTCGGGGTTGTGGAAAGAAGTTTCACGCGAAGCGCAGGTATATCAGATCTTGCGCAAGGCTCAGGGATCTGCTGTTCCTGTCTTTTTGGGAACAATTGACTTAGCAAAAATCTACTTTCTATATGGTGCTGGACAGATCCGCCATATGCTCGTAATGGGCTGGGGCGGTAAGTGCACCGCCACGATGGAGCTGACGCAACGGCTTCGCCGCGAGATTCACAAATCGAACAAGGAAATAAAAGCTCTCGGGATAATACATGAAGACCTCAGGCGAGACAATGTCCTTTGGAGTGAAGAGCTCGGGCGCGCTTTAATCATCGACTTTCACCGTTCTACTCTGAGATGCCGACCGGCTAAGCAGCGACCGGGGACCGCAAAACGACGACTATGTCGAGTGGAGGCAGGAGATGCAAAACGTCTTCGGGTTTCGTGATAAGGAAATATATTTTCTACCTGTTAAATTAGCGATCTTATTCTTGTTACCCAAATTCCCATGGTCACCTATACTTTCCGAAGCGAAGTGCGCTCCTTATTCAGGTGCTTCGACACCACCCGACTTATTATGTGAGCTGGACCCTCGAACTTGAAATCTTTTCGGAATGATATGACCATTGTAAGAACATTGCAGACTGTTGTTCACTTGGAGGATGTGAAATGGTTGAAGCGCCGTCGGGTTCTTGAATCAACTTCTGGCAATACCTGGCGTGGTCATCGCGTCGGCGCGGGGAAAGCAAGCAAAAGCTCTTGTCTAGCTCGACAGTTGCCTGCATATGACGACCGTCAGACCACAGACCACAGCGTTAGTCGACTCGGTTGAGCTCCGTACCGTCATATCACGGGACGGGAGGAATTATGTTTACATTATTGGCTTAGTTATCGCAATGCATGATAATTATGCGTTCCTGCAACTAGCACTGTCTACGCTGAACCAGTTTGCTAGAATGTCATGTCAAGAAGGTCGAGTGCTCATCATGACAACAAATCATATCGAACATCTTGAGACGATATCAACGCTGTGTCGGCGTCCGGTAATATGGGATATCGAACTGATTCGGGCTGCAGACTGGCGGGCAACAATAGGATGGGATACCTTCACAATATTCAAGGTTTCGCAAAAAAGGCAGTCACAAGGCGGTTGTGATTTCCATGGGAGGCAATCGGACGCTCCATGAATGCATCCACTTCATCCAAAAGTAGCACCACATCAACTTGTTTTGTGATCTTGAATATGCGCTTGAGCCTTGCCCAATGCATTAGGGTCTCCGTGGTCAACATCAAGTTCATCCGCGGAGATCTAGCTTCTCTTAGCGCGAGCATTGGCCAGACAGAACTCCAAGCTATTGCCTACCGGCTAATACAGGTTGCAGGTTGATAAATGTGTTCAAATTAAGGAGTGGAAGTATGGGAAACAACTGAAAGAGTGGGAGCCTAAGATCGATGGGCCAAGAAAAAGACTGGCAGGGTAGCAAAGTACCTAAAGGACAGGGAAATAACCAGAAAAATACTGAAGCGCCTCAAACATTAAACCAACATCCAATTGGCGACACAGGTTTGGTCAGTCCTGTCCACAAACCCAATGTCGTCGCGGTGTTAGTCCCCTTTGCCTCTCCATTGCGCGGGTGTCCTCTCTTCCTAGTTCTTAACGTCCTTCTTGTACCCAGGAGCCCTCTCTCTTCAGTTGGTTCCCGGCCTTTGTCTTCGCTACCCAGTTTTCAACACTAGTAACAGCGCCAAAGGGCGAGTTCTTCTGCTCCAATAGGAATGACAAAACTTCAGCTGGACTGAAAACTTGGTCTGGCACCTTGGAAGCAAAGTCGTTGGCAAGTCTCTTAATCGTCTCATCACCGAATTCATGCTTTGATTCCTTGTGGTCTGCCGTCTGCTTGAAGACCGTGTGAAAAAGTTGAGTGGAAATATTCCTATCGGCAAGCTGGAAATACACTTTCTTGTCTGCGCGGCCAGGCCGAATGAGTGCTTCATCCAGATGTTCGATATGATTGGTCGTCATAACAAGCACCCGACCTTCTTGAGACGACACACCATCAAGAACATTCAGAAGACCGGATAGGGTGACTGCAGAGGTTGACTTATTCTCTTGGTCTGTATCGGAGTCGTCCCTACGCCCCATCCCAGCGGCGTCCACGTCCTCTAGGAGAACGATGCAGTGCGGCGGAAGCTCAGAAAATAGCTTCATCAGCTTGCTGTCAGAAATCCCTGACAGCTGAAGCGTATAAATATCCAGTTCAAATTCCCCGGCCAAGGAGAGACTAAAGCTGGATTTTCCAGTTCCAGGAGGTCCATATAAAAGGTAGCCTCGTTGGTAGGGGATACCGCGGTCGGCGTACCACTTCTGTGTATCTTCATTCAGGAAGTCCTTCACATCTCTTAAAAGGTCATCTTGTACGTCCTTGTCCATAATGACTGTTGAAACGGGTCGAACTGGTCTCAACCTGGTCTTCTTCCAGTCCCCTTCACGGTGTTCAAAGACAGTGATCTTTTTGTCAATGTTATTAAGGTAATTTCCTCGGCACTCTTCAACGAGCTGTTTGAGAATGTTTGGATAAAGGCCAATGGATGAGATGTAGATGTCTTCTCGATGGTCTTTAACAGCGCAGTGAAGTATGAGCAGGTGTCCCTTATACCAAAAAGGGAAAGATCCATCCCAAGGCGAAAAGGTCAAAGGCTTTTTCTTTTCTTGGCTTTGGATAGTTGTTCGCTGTGGAGATCTCACACGAGCAATCAATGAGTGGGCGTTGCGGACAAAGGGCTGGTGAGCTATCCAATCGACGAGCATGTCGTACGCTTCGTCATAATACGAGACATGGATTGTCGAAGCTGCAGACTGTCAGCCCCATCCCATCTCAATGGGAGAATTACGAACTGAAGTAGCTTCTCACTAGCTCCCAAACGTAGCGGATTGCATAGCGGGTGAAGAGGACGAACATCCCCACAGTACACAGAAGTCGAGTGTAGCTGTCCAGGTTACCGGCAAAGAGCTGCTGTGCGGAAGCAGAGACCATACTGAGACCGGGAAAGAAAATATCTAGAAGAGACATCTGAGAAGGGTTGTGGTAGGAACTACCCCCGTTGATGGCGTTCATTGCGTTTAAGAGAATCTCGAAAGATATGATTATCGTAGTTGAGAGAGCAATAAAGGATTGCACATGCTCCCATTTATACACCTTCGTTGCTACCCTGCTCCTTTTCAAATCATCGCCGCCTACCTGCATACTATACTTACGCATCTGGGGTGTATCTTGCGGATATTGGATATCTTGCTCTAACTGTTGGCCCTGACCAGTACAATCTAGACCAACACCAGCTAGCGATGGCGCCGATTAATCGAGCACTACACAAACATTCAAGGGGAGTGTCGAACTTAAGCTTAGCTCAAGGTAAGATATCACTTGAACTTACATCTCGCGCAAGATACGCTTCCATTAATTTGCTAGTACTGTAAGATAAGCGTTGTGCTTTCTGCTTTACATTATGTGGCTTGCAGGTTCATATTAATCTCTATACTGATGACGTGGTCTCTAAGCACGTGATAAATTGGTGACAGAAGGCACGAAAAAAGGTGCCCAACCTTGTCTGCATCGATCACATGATGCTCTCGTGCAACCCCGCCAACTAACTCTGGTTCCCAAACTTGTTCGCTTCGATAACTGCCACCTACGTTCGCGATGTTCTGAGCAGCAATAAGGCTGACCTTGCCGTACCTATTACTTTGCCACAATCAAGCAGATCGATCCCCTGCGGACCTCAGTATCCCGGCGAACAAATCAAGACGTAAGGTTTACCATTTCGCGACGAAAAGACTGTCTGGCAGTCTAAGCTAATTTTCACAAGTATAGGAACATTCACCACTCCATATCGCGCAAACCTACGCGGTTTACCGAACCACCAGTCTTCACAACCTTGCAAGAAAAGCATCTTTCATGGTAAGCCGCTTCGTCCTCCGCCATGACAAAGTTAACATGTTCAGACTTTTGATCCTGAAGACCTCAATCCGACAGAAGATTTCTCGGATGTCCCTACAAATAAAGTCAAATGGGTGGAAGGTAAAGATCAGTGGGTATACTGGAAGGGATGTAGTGCTATGACCGTCTATGTGAATAAAGGAGAAGGAAAGGTACACGGCAAACTCAGCGGTCAAGTGAAGCTTCAAGCTGGGATCGAGCTATACTTCGTTGGAGGACAAGTTAAGGATGGATAGCCCAGTTGTGGGAAATGGGTTTCTATGTATATAGCTTTTTTTGTATCTGAGCGCCGCCTTTCAAACCCAAAGACAAGTTGATAATAGCACCTTCATTAGGTCTGCTGGTAAGCATCATAGACACACACTCTGTTACATTATTTCCTTCTTCCAGTTCCTTCCTTCGCATTCGGCTTGCCTGGATCGCTCCATATATCTCCGGACCAAGCGTACGAACAATAGCTTCATCCAGCGCACCCTTGAGTGTCATTTCAGGACTAGGTAACAATTTGGCACCCTCGTTCAGAACCACATACCTCACCTGTCCTGCAGATTCCACGTGAACATTGAACAGTGACATAGCTAAATATTGGACCTTGGTCTCATAGATAGCCAAGCTCATGAGACAGTCCACTAGTCCGTGAAATGGAAAGTTCATAGTTACTGCGGCTTTGAAACAAGTGGATCCCTCGCTCTGAATCGCGTCTTTCCTGATCGCACTACACATGTACTGGTCGAAAACCTCGGCGATCCCTAGTAATGACGCTTCTTCGAGCACCAGATGTTGTGAAGTTCCAGATTCCTGTGATCTCTCAGCGATGCCTGACATCATATTCCGAGAGGACACAATGGTACCTATTAAGCTTTCGGCGGGCGAGGAATGTTGCCGAACTTCATTCAACCGAGCCTCCAAAACCCCTAGCCGTGTTATTATTAAAAAAGGTAAGAGTAGTAAGATCTGAGACATACCAGCATCTTGAAAGTTCTCGGATATGTTGCGAATGGCATTGCTGACGCTGGGATGCGGCCGTTTGCTGGCCACTTTTCTCGCGACATTTGCTTGATCTGCGAACGGGAGTTGCTGGAATGCAGCAATGGTGTCAGATCTATTACGTCGCCCTTTGAAGTGAGCTTTTCCCTCCGTCGCAAGAAAATATGTAAACCAAGCTTTAAATCCTCCATTGTCGAAGAAGATTCGTGATGTTGCTGTTTTTTGAGCGACGCGTGTTTGTTGAAACTTTTTCTTCATGCCTTTGGGGATTTTTTGACGAGCCCAATTGTTTTTGAGTTGTTCCTCGAATATCTCGACCGAATCTTTGATTATGGTTAACTTTGTTGAGGAGGTCTCAATCGAGTGTATTGAGGTTTGATCATCAAGCGTCTCCTCAGTGGAGTTCTGAGACGAGGACTCGACGTCCATATCGGAAGGACGATGGTCTGCTGAAGTAATTTGTAGAAGAAGCTGGAAATTTCTAGTTAGCATGATAAAGGGGAAAGTTACCGTCTTATGTTGCTGATACAGAGTACGTTCACATGTGAATGTGGGTAGGGTTAAGCCAAATTTATTCACGTCTTGTAGGATAACTATGTACAATGAGCTGAGGAAAATTAAAATAGTATCTTGCCTCATCCAGCTGCAGCGCTCATTGGCTCAAACTCGGTTGCCGTCACTTGACCGTGTCAGCCTCGTCGCTTCGAACACGAGGTCGACCAATAATTGATCGACGTTGTCAAGTTGATACATGCGCTCCTAATGAGCGGGGTAACTACATAGGGTAAAGACTACCCCTGATCCAATACTCTCCCAGCAAGCCATGCATAATCCGGGACATCCCATACATGTATTTGGCCTGAGCCCCGCCCGCTTAGGCGCCACGTTACTGCACTGCATTGTCCAAGTTTCTTTCGGTCAGAGTATATAGGCAGGTATCCCTGTTTTGGACTAGCGTTGCTCTGAACTCCAGAAAAATACGAGGGAGCAAGGTCAATCCAACGTCCGGGTCATCGGAATAAACAAAAGTGCGCGAATATAGTTTGCAGGAAAAGATCACCGAAAGTTCCCAATTTTAGATACATACGCGGCCGTTGGAAAATCCTCCATAGCGATCATAATCAGATACCCTGGATGTTCTTTAGGCCGATCACCCCTTATGTACAGGGCCTCATGATGCTCTTTCCTGTTGCTTGGCAGCCCTAACAACCACAAAAGGCCTTACAATACTGTGGCATTATCTCTTGTAAGGCATCTTGATCAGGAACAGTTTTTGATAAAGCGGGGGTGGGTCTGCTTGTAAAAAACCGAAAATAAAGACCTGTCGAACTAGCCAATGCTTTCGTGGAAAGCCTGGACGTAAGTGGGGGGAGGATCTAATCGAAGCGCCAATAACACCTGGTTATTCACCCGAAAGCGACATTCGTCCGTTTCAGGTTGATGATCATGGATCATGGAGGGAGACCCAAAATATTACTGGCCACTGCCACATCCTTGCTATTGTGTCAATTTTCTCGAGTGCCGCCAACTACCTGATGGGTGGCCTCGGCGTTAAGCGCCCATATTATGTGGAGGAAATGTTGTGAGAGGCCAGTGCGAAAAACCGAGAATATAAATGTAGCGCCTTACTCCTGGGAGCTGGAACCTAGTCGTAATAAAAGCCCACCAACGTTGAAATACCCAACACAAATTTCTATGATGACAGCATTATGATGAATGATGTGTGTACAAGGAATTCAAATTCCATTGTGTTTTAGTTGTGCGTTTTCAAACTGAATGGATGAGCTTTCCAGACTATTCTAGGCGGAGAAGTAGCGATTTATCTCTTTCTCGGTATAGCTAAAGACTTTCAATTAAAAATATAGTTCACTGATTATATTATCTACCTACGTGTATTAAGGGGCCATGTTATTCTGTGGATAGCAACATTCAATTCTTTTTCTTTTTCTAAGGCATATCATCTAGTAGCGCTAAAAGCCGTAACTTCCACCATTACTCAAAAAGGCGATGCCGTCTGTCGCTTTAATAAACTTTGACAACATTCTGCCTGAATAAAATTAATTCTAGAGTAACATTTCATTATGACTGGAGGAAAAGTAAGATTTGCTGACAGAAAATGTTGGGGGGCTGGTAATTCAATAGGTTTATTAGCCAGATTGCATGGGCGACTGAGGGGAGGGGTGATTCGACGGGGTAGTTAACCTGGTCAACTAATTTCTATGCAAACAATTTTTTGTACAGTTATTCGACCAGCCTGGCCTCACAATTTGGTTTATTCGGTCATATTCGGATCTTAAAGAATTGTGATAATGTGCAAAATGAGTAACTACAAACAACTGTTTACTTCAAACCCCGGCTGACCAGATTGTTCATTTCATCGGATCTGCACTCCACTCTCCCTGCCATCACTTAATTACCTGTTTATTATTATAGTTCTATAGTTGCTCCATGCAATCAACTTTTCAATTGACTTTACCGGCCATCCGCATTTTCCTGCCAAAAATTAATTTTCTGACTTTCCAGCCACTTTGTTGACCAGAGTAGTAGCTAGCCCTGCTTTTGTGTTTTGTTCTTTTGATTTTATCTCTCTGTGTATTTTGCTAATATGAATCGTGTTACCCAGGCAGCTTCGGCACTCTGCTCGTACGGTATACCTCTCCCTTTGGCATTTTCAATAATGAAAATGTTTCCTAAGATAGTAAGATCCTAGGAACAAACGTGACTGGTGCACTATAGTCTAGTGTCATTTTGAGGGTGGTTAATCGAGTTATGCCGATTCGTTCGTCGAAGCCAACACCCTTAACCATTCGCTCCCACCGCAAGTCTGTTTTATGATTCAATAATTACGGGCCCTTAATATTATCATTTAACAAATTATACTTTTCCGCTCCCTGCCCAATTTTTGACCAGGGTATGGCTAGCCACGATTCTGCCTTTTCCTGCCTCCTATTCTTCCTTTATGTGTATTCTGTTAACTTGAGGGGTGTTACCTATGCAGCTTAGGCGGCTTCTATTTAAAAAATCGTCTTCTAAGATCATATGAACAAAATTGACTTCTGGAACGCGGCCCGGTGTTAAATTGAGGGCGGAAAATTGAATGAGATCAGTTGGTCACTCACTAACAATGCAGTGACGGTTTGGAGCCAGTTTGTCCTTTGACTTTAAACGTTGCACACTAGTTGGAAGAATCGCAGCCAGTATAGAAGTCACCACTTCTTGCAGAGATACAAGAAGCAAAGCCTGTAAGTCTTGTGCCTTTTTAGTGATCTCTCCTGTAATTCCCGGGACCATACAGGTGGAATCTGATCCACTATGAGAATGTGAGCTTCAACATCAAAAGCTTTCGCAAAACGGACTATACTGACCCTGTAAATCTCCAAACGATCCTCTTCAGCAACCATATTTCCCGTGGCTGTCGCAAAGCCCCTGAAAAATCTCTCAGTATACGTCAAAGTAGTGATCACCACGGGCCTTCCATCTGGTCGAAGCCGTCCTTTCGTAGAAATCGTGTACCACCAAATAAATTCTTTGATCAGAGCAATGTTGGGAGTAGGAGAATCCTTCTGCAGCTCATAGTCTTGTGGAGCCATTCCGCGTACACCAAGAAACCTGATAAGTCAACAAAACCGGAAGCTGATATAGCATTTCGAGGCCACTCACTCGATCCAGAGGTCGACGTGCCTCTGGTAAAGGGCTTTGACCTTAGCAGCACGGTCATGCTTATTATGGATGGCACACTCTCGTAAGAGTTCTTTGCGAGGCTCGTGTCTTTCACTTGCTGTACACACACACACACACACACAATTTATTAACGCCCGGCGGCTAAGCCGAAAGGGCAACTATCTCTGATCTACTATACATGTCATAATGTATATAGTACTGTGTCTCCTCAGAGCCCATACATAAAGCCTTGCAATATATGTCATCTCAGATGTCCGTATCGCAGCGGATCCTCGTGGGTTAGTAATTTTGTTAGTAGGCTGGCTTGAAGGCGCTTCTCCAAGTGTTCAACATCCTATTTTCGGCAGTTGAAGCGCGTCTACCGTCTGTAACACGAGGTGGTTGGTGGGTTAGATCGGCGAAAAGGGGGGGTGATTTATGTTCGTCGGCGTGGTTAGGTGGCCTCGAGTCGGCCTGTGGCGATGGCGAATCGTATTGAGGCCCGTACCGCCTCTAAGTTCGGCGTCTACTTCTGATTATCATAAGGCGACTTTCCTCCTAGGAAGAAGGATATATTTCCTCGGTGGGTGTTGGTATATTGTAGTAGTTCCGTCCGGTGCACCGTCTATTTTTGACATCGAAATAGGAAGTGCTCTACGGTCTCTCTCGCTTATCTATACGCATACTGGTCCGTGTCTGCTACTTTGATTCGATAAAGATATCTATTGAGTCTTGCCATGCCGGTTCGGAGTTGAGCCAGCACGCTCGCTTCTTTCCATGATAATCGGTCATACAGCTGCCGGGTGTGTTTGCCTGGGAGTGCTGCATCGACTCGTTTTGCGTATCTCCCTACGTTCACTGGTAGGTCATTGCTAGGGACTGCTTAGGACTGTGCGATATTCAGTGTTGTTGACTTCATTCTCGGGACGCGTTCTTGCGGGAGAGTATCTTCTTATATCGCGGCTCTGGCCTGTTCTTTAGCCAGACCCCGTAGTTTATTATCTTCGCTCGTTGAGATCTACCGGATATTAATCTGGTTTCCATTTCTCCGTAGCTTTCTTATTAACTTATATAGTTAGCAGACGAATTCCTAGCCTAACTGTTGTCGAGGATTCCTTAGTGTCAGAGCCGCCGCTTTGTTGCTTGTAAGTAGCGTAATCCTGTAATCTTTCAGTCCAACTACTATGTTTAATGCATGTGCCATCGCTGCTAGCTCCGCAGAGAACGGATTTTGCTCTGTTCTTGCATCTAATGTGACAGAAAGGGTTGTTAGTTTCAGTTTTCGATACCGAGGTGGCTGCCTCTCGATCGCCACCCTAAATCCGACCAGCTCATTCCGTGCCGAACTGCTGGTTGCGATCTGTATTAACCTGCCTAGTACGGTCGGTGACTACGGAGTTGCTTCAACGCCAGCCTATACGCGTACTTCCTATGGTGTTAATGTGAACGGATTAATGGTTTCTAGTATTTCTATCTTAATATTCTTTAGCGCGTCTGCTACTTGATATAATGGCGAACGATGGTATCTTCTGAATTTCTTGATCCGTGCTGTATTCCTGCGGAGAGGGTTGGTTTCTAGTAGGGTATGTATGTCCGTCCATATCTTCACGGCTCGTCTCTAGAAACGGTGTTGAATAGTGGTAAGGTAGGCCTCCGCCTCTGCTATACTGGTCGCAACTGTGAGGAATGTTCCTACAATCGCCTGCGCTCCTACCCTTTGGACGCGGTTTATCGGCCCTATGGCCTTATCCTTGTATGCGTGTATCCAGACATTAGACGCGTAGTCTACGACCGGCGCCACTGTCGATGTAAATAGCTGCCGCGCTGTCGCTGGGGATAAACCCCGAAGTCGACGGAGCTCCATCGCGGCCTCCAGGCCCTTGGATGCTGCCCTCGCAATATGTTCCTTGTACTTAAGTTTCGTGTCCATAAGGACGCCTAAGATCTTGACATAGTCCTTGGGCTCAACAGTTTGTCCCTTGATAGTGAAAGGCCCCTGGTCCAATTTGTAAGCCTTGGGAGCAAAGTGTATGATGGCTGTTTTGTCTGCTTCAAAAGTCGCTCCGCTCCTTTTCTCCCAGTCGAGTGCTTTATTGATAATTGCTTTAATGCCTTCCCGGTTGCTCTGGGCGGTTAGCCCGGTCACCCATGCGGTAAAATCATCCACGAACGCTATCGCTCCGCCCTGGCTGTCGATCTGTCTTTGTACGAGGTCTGTATTAAAGAAGAGGAATAGGATCGGGGACAGGGGCGAGCCCTGAGGTAGGCCAGCCTGTGGAAGGCTCTGGACCTCCGATACTTGCCCATTGATTTGGATGGTCGCCGTTCGTTCCGAGCAGAACGCTTCGACCTACCGGAGCAGGTCAACTGGTATGCCTCGCGCTTTCATTCTCTGGAGCAGTCGTTCTTTGCACACACCGTTGTAGGCGCCTTTGACATCGAAGCTGATCAAACTCAACACCTGTCGGCCACGCTACGCTGTGTAGATCTGCTCTTGTAAGAGCACAAGCGCCTGCTCCGCGGACCGTTGCTTTCAGGCTCCGAAATGGCTGGTCGGGAGCAAGCCGTGTGTCTCCACAGCGTGCGAGATCTTTTCTGCAACCACAGATTCTAGTATCTTGCCTAGCGTCGCGAGGAGCGAAATTAGCCTCCATGCCTTCGCAATGGTGTAGTTTTCCTTGTTCGGCTTTTTGAGCGGTATGATCTTCGTATATCTCCACTGTCTCGGCAACCTGCCTTCTTCCAGTGACGCCTAGAATAAGTCGAGAACCCTGTGCTTGACCGTGGGCCACATCATCTTCCAGACTATCGCCGGTAGACCGTCTTCACCCGGCGCCTTCTATGATTTCGCTGCAAAAAGCTGTCGTTCTACCTCCTCCAGGCTGATAGCAGGCATTCCTACCGGCTCTCTTTGTGGTCTGGTCCCCTTGTCGTTAATAACGTCAGGTAGAGGGGGAAAGAATTTGGACAGCAGCTCTTCTGCTTGCTCTTGATAATCCGTGGTGGTAGTCCCGTCTGCTCTGACGAGCTGCGGTAGCTTCCCGAATGCTGCGTCCTCTCCCGACTTTAGGTATTTAGCGGCTTTCCAGATGTTATCGTTATCTGCGAGAAACTCATTCCAGTGCTTCTTCTTTTGTTTGCGGATAGCATCGTGGTATTATTTCGCCGCACTTTGGGCTGTCTTTTCCAGGTGCGGTACTTTTCGTCCCGCCCGGCGCTCCGAGCGAGCATGATTTCGCCAGTATGTATATATATAGCGCAGCTGTGTTAAGTCGGCTGTCCACCATCGTTTCGCGTGTGGTAACGGTTTTGCCTTTGGAGTCAAAGCATGCACCGCCTCGCTGACCGCCGTCATAAGTCGGTCAGTCTTCTGCTGCACCGTGCCTCCCGACAGAGTAGCGGTCAGAGTACTCGCGATTCTAGCATTGATCTCGTTCCATGGTGCGTTCTTCAGCAGAAGTCGTTCCTGATGCTTTGGGGCTGACCACGGTGCATCGAACACAGTCTCAATGGCACGGTGATCCGAGCCGTACTCTGTCCCATGTATCGCACACTTGATCATTGAGTCTATCAAATTATCAGAGGCCAGGACGAGGTCGATAGTCGACTCGCAGTCCCCGCTCTGTCCACCCCCGTGCTATGTCTTTGTACCTCGTTTGAGTAAGCTACTAAGAGTAAACTCGTTCATGAGGTCAATGATTAGATCCGCTTCGCCCTGTCTTCCCAGGGACACCTCGTCTCCTCCCCAGAGTTGATCATGGCGGTTAAAGTCTCCCACAACCATGACCTCCACCACAGCGCCCGTGTCTCGCCGCACCTTTGCAACTGCCTTTCTCAGGTGATCGCACGCGTCGTCCAATACCGAGGTATCTCCCCCCTCGACGTAGACTGATGCCATAAAAATCAGTCGCTCGGGGAGCCGGATGACCGCCGCCGTTAGATCCGGGGACTCTATAGCTACTTACTCCGCTTCTATATCTTTGTTAATCCAGAGCATGCTCCGAATCGCCTACCTACCTTCCCTCTAGGTGGAGGGAACCATCTTTGTCTATTTGTGGTATCCCATCGGGGTGGTCAAGAGCCGGCCTTGAATCCTCCTCGCTTGGGGTTCCTGAATCGCTAACGCCACTGCGTTCTAAGTCGCTTTATCGTTCATCAAGCTCTCATGCACTGCACCCTGTTTCCTCACATTTAGTTGGATTACTCGGAGAGTTCTATTCATGGTGTGACGGGTAGAGCTTCCGACAGTTTTTGCTGTACGATTTATGGGGGCCTCCGCATGGTACGCACTTTGGAACCGTTTGGTCGCAATTACTGTGGCGATGGCCTTCAGCGGCGCACTTTACACACTTCTAGGCGTTCTTGCACTGGAATGCCTTATAGCCAATCTCCTGGCAATTATAACATTGCGTCGGTCTTAGGCGATGTTCAAAGGCGCTAGTCACGCCAGATTCTCCCCCAGCGTGGAAGAACCCGTCGGCCAGGAGCCTCCGTGCATCAGTGCCTCTGGTTAGGTAAACAACCATCGACCCATAGGCTTTTGCGCTTTCCTTTCTGCTGAGCCACGCGATCTTAGCAACGGTGGCTTCGTTCTCCTCGCTGAAGGCCGCTGTGGCTCCAGCTCAGATCTCATCTTTTTTGTCCAGAACTGCGGCTCTGTTGACGCTGTCGACTTTAATCGGGTAAAGCTCGTCACGAAGCACTCGGGCTCCTTCGCCGATCTTTGCTTCCGCCACTTTCTTGACTAGCTGGTGTTTAGCTTTATCGCGACATGCTATTCTGATCCGGTGGGTGTTTTTCGGATCTACCGTGACGGCGCGACAGCGCCAGTGCGTGTGCTTTTCCATCATCTGGATCTCTGTTTCAACCGCCGCCCGGATCAGACCTGCGGACATCTTTTCATTTTCATTGTTTACTATCTTCGAGGTGTCTATCGTGCAATACAACATGTCGGTGAAGGTGGTCGGTGTCGTGTTCGACGATGAGAGAGTCCGTATATTGCTCGGGTAACTGGTTAGGGGAGTGCGGGCAACATCTGTATAGGAAGGAGATCCCGTGGTGGGGTCTGCAGGACTGACTGCAACGCGCAAGGATTGAATTTCGCGAAGGATCTCATCGTGGCCGTTCTGGGAGCATGGTTCGGAAAGGGGTTGCGGTGTAGGGGGTCTATCTGTCAGGGTCCGTAGCTCGTGTCGAACTTCTGCAAGGGCGGCGCTGAATTCTTCCTTGACTTTCTGCAGTTCTTCTTGTACTTTCTGCATCTCTTCTCTATGCAAACCATCTCGCCGTTTGATGTCTCTCCTGAGTTTCCCGAGCTCTTTCACTAGGTCGGCGGCGTTCAGGTCGTCGCTCTCGGTTGAGGCAACGTCCGAAGTTACCGCTTCACGTTGGGCTACAGGCTTGCCCTGGGCCTCATTCTTCCGCTGGGAGCGCGCATTTCTCTGCTGGATGTCGATCTCTTGCTCTTGGCCATAGTTGTTAGGCGGTCTGGTGGCGCGTCTCGGTCTCAACAGTCGTGGCGGTGACTTTTCGTGTTCGTCGCGGTCGGGCGGTTCAGGGGTTCGCGTCTCGGCCCGTCCCGACATTTCTCCCAATTTTGGTCAGGAACTCTTAAACACAATACAGTCCTAAGGCAAGGTACAGTACTTCCCAGGCCTCTTTCGAAACAGTATACAGACGCTCTTCTACTTCACTATAGACGCGCCCGAAATCCGACTACCAGTCGACGTATATTGACGTATCTTGAGACTGGTACAGGCGCGCTCGAAATCAGTTTCACCTCATACACGTAGATTCTTTTCTTATCTTGAAACACGATAGTCTATCTTTGGTTTAGCCCACCATAAGATCTCGATTCGTATTATAAGCAAAAGTCACATGATTGGTGGCTGTGTACTTTACTGGAAATACTAATATGATTGAAACCGAGCCCTCCATGCGACCATGAGGCCATGCATATAACAATGGCTGGATTTGAGCATTCATCGCTATGCCAGACAATCAGAAGAATTTCTGATCTAATTCAGGTTGATAGGGGCTAAACTGGTACAGACGCGCTCGAAATCAGTTTCACCTCTTTACTCTCTTTGATTCTTTGTCGAAATCTGTTTTGCATGACGCCATCCCTTTTACGGTTAGTCTACCCATGAGCAATATTCTTGGCATTATAGCGGTGCCGTTATAAATAATGATGTAAAAATAGCTATCGTATCATTTTTGTATGGGCTATGACTGTCTAGAACCACTCGATTGGAGACTCGGCGCCACATTGCGGAATGACGGTGCAACTTTCAGGTTGTTGGTGGTGGAAGCACCCGGAGAGGCTGACTGATGGGCATTGCTGGGGGGCCACGAGAAAATTATTCCTCTATGCTCACCCTTGCTCACCTTTCTGCTCAGTGAGCGGACGAAATGATTTTTAATTGAAGGTTGAGTGGATGCTAGGGTATTGGCAAACGCACGTGACCTCTCGCAATCTCATAGTTCTTGGCAGCTTTGGTGTGTTTGAAAGACCCATCTGAAAAATGCAGGGCTTCGGTTTCTGCCAGCTGGGGTAACCACTCTCTCAGTTCGACATACTTCTATCCGTCAAATACGATCAGGAGAAAGACTGTAGGCTATTTATAGTGAGGAATAAAGAAAGGTATAGAAATTTGAGGTAATATGAACGCTGATCAAAGACCAATGACGGGGCTCCTCTCTGTAGACCTGGCAGTGACCCTCCGGGTGGTCCATGACCTTGGACCCTCCGAGGGTCCAGCGACCCGCCAAGACCTAAATTTTGACATAAATATATATAAATCATGGTTTATAAGCATATTATTTCCTAATTAGGATAGGTTATGCATGCATAATTTCCTTGGCGGGTCCAGAATCCGGACTTTGGACCCTCCTTAGCGTCTTGGCGGGTCCAAATGGAGGGTCACTGCCAGGTCTACCTCTCTGGGAGCGCGAGAAATATGATACGATCTGATGAACAGCCAATCGCCAATGTTGTCGCTGACATAGCGAATAGAGAAGGACGTGTCGGTCTGTAATCAGCAGGCAACCATAGGAGATTGGCTCCATTGTAGGTTATCCAGGAGGAGTCATCGCTCAAACCATACCCGTATTGGTCGGGCGGTGAAATCGAGTCATGAGGCATCGGTATGACGGAGCCAACTAAACCTATATCAAACATACCCTTCCTCGTGTGCAAATGATTAACAATAACCTTATCGAATCGAACGAAGCCAGCGCGGCCGGTGTAGAGAGTTGACACGCTCTGGCCGGTGGCTGGATCCCAGATCCTCACTGTCTTATCATAGGAAGCTGATACGAGTCGGCTTCTATCTGGCGACCAGGCAATCGAGTCGATCAAACCACTATGCCCCTTGAGAGTTAACACACTCTGGCCGGTAGCTATATCCCAAATCCTGACTGTCGTATCATCAGACAGTGTTGCGAGTCGGTTTCCATCTGGCGACCAGGCAATCGAGTTGATCGAACCACTATACCCCTTAAGAGTTAACACACTCTGGCCGGTGGCTAGATCCCAGATCCTAACTGTCTTATCACCTGACCCTGATGCGAGTCGGCTTCCATCTGGCGACCAGGTAATCGAGTCGATCAAACTACTATGCCCCTTGAGAGTTAACACACTCTAACCGGTAGCTGGATCCTAGATCCTAACTGTCTTATCATCGGATGCTAATGCGAGTCGACTTCCATCTTGGGACTAGGCAATCGACTTCACCCAGTTACTATGACCGTCCAGAGTTGATACGCTCTGGCTGATGGCTGGATCCCAGATTCTGACGGTCTTATCATGGGATGCTGATACGAGTCGACTTCTATCTAGCGACCAGGCAATCGAGTTGATCGAACCACCATGCCCCTCGAGAGTTGATATGCTCTGACCAGTAGCTGGATCCCAGATCCTAACTATCCTATCCCGGGACACTGATGCAAGTTGGTTTCCATCTGGCGACCAGGCAATCGAGTTGATCGAACCACTATGCCCCTTGAGAGTTAATACACTCTGGCCGGTGGCTAGATCCCAGATCCTAACTATCTTATCATAGGAAGCTGATGCGAGTCGGCTTCTATCTTGCGACTAGGCAATCGAGACGATCAAACCACTATACCCCTTAAGAGTTAACACACTCTGGCCGGTGGCTAGATCCCAGATCCTGACTGTCTTATCATAGGAAGCTGATGCGAGTCGGCTTCCATCTTACGACCAGGCTATTGAGAGGACTGAACCACTATGCCCCTTAAGAGTTGATATGCTCTGACTAGTAGCTGGATCCCAGATCCTAACTGTCCTATCCCGGGACGCTGATGCGAGCTGGCTCCCGTCTTAGGATAAGGCAATCGAGTTAACCTAATCACTATGCCCCTTGAGAGTTGATATGCTCTGGCTAGTAGCTAAATCCTAAATCCTAACTGTCGTATCATCAGACGCTGATACGAGTCGGTTTCCATCTGGCGACCAGGTAATCGAGTTGATCGAACCACTATACCCCTTAAGAGTTAACACACTCTGGCCGGTGGCTGGATCCCAGATCCTAACAGTCCAGTCATTGGACGCTGATACAAGTCGGCTTCCATCTGGTGACTAGGCAATGGAGGTGACCCAATCACTATGCCCCTTGAGAATTGACACACTCTGGCCGATGGCTGGATCCCAGATCCCGACTGTCTTATCACCTGACACTGATGCGAGTCGGCTTCCATCTTGCGACCAAGCAATCGAGTTGACCAAACCGCTATGCCCCTCGAGGGTTTGAAGGCATGGACTCCAATATTTGTCCACCAATGGCTCATTCAAAACCCAAACCGGTCTCTCTCTTTGATAACATCTTTTGGTGAGACTCAACATAGGGCTAAAGATCAGAGGTGAACTGTATACTTGAAGGGGGCTACTTTCAATTGCTAGCCTGTGGTATCGAATGAACCGGGAGGCGTCTTGAACTCGATGTAAAAGGGCTGGTTCATTTTTTTCCTGTTATAGTAGTTCTAATGTCAGAAGTGGAGATGATTTCGGTATATAAGCAATTACTCGCCTGAAGTAAACCCTCGAGCTTTAGCATAGCAGCTATGCCTTGTGATAGGCTTCCTAGAATGCTCAGGGCTTCAAGCCAGTGTAGGTATTTCTTTTGTAGAAAATCACCAACTCCCCCTCTCTCATCGACGTCAAGATGGTTTTTTCCATGGCATCCGCTATAGTGAAGATGGTCAACCCAATAGACACACGCATATTTTGCAGCTGCTAATGGATTCAGACTAGGTGGTATGACTTTCTCAATCGGGAATCCAGGAATCTTAAGTTGAAAGATATCGTGTCGAAGTGTCTTGAACATGACTTGCAGAGAGCGAGAGAAAATCATATGGTGTTCAGCTTCTATACCTCTAGCAAAAACCCCATTTTGCGTCTCTCTGAGTAGAAATTCCTTTGCAGACTGATGGACGAAAACGATAGTGTCTTCGCGCACAGTCAGAAACGAGCCACAGATCGCGATGATCTCTAATAGGGCCTCAGAGTCATCAGATAGACCATTAGGTAGTTCAACTAGAGAGGCTAGTTCGTCAAACGCGATAGGCCGATACACTACGCACATGACAGCCAATATTTGCTTGCAGGGCTCGGCATCTTCCGAGTTGCGAACCTGATCGATCATTCGACTGTACAAGGCATTCAGTCCAGGAGGAAACGCCTCCAGCTTCTTAAGAGCGTGCCTCCGCGATGTTCTATCAAGATCTTGACAGACCAAGGCTACCCAAAGGAAAGTGCCTTGTGAATTGGATGACAAGTGAAGGCAGATCGTATCACGAGTTTCATCGCTATACTTTTTAACTTTCGCCAGATAGTGAACCTTGTGTTGAATGAATTTGTTCACAGCTTCGGATACACAGACCTCATTTATCTCCAATGAAATTAGAGCGGTTTGAGTATTGTCAAGACGCTCTTCGATATCAGGCCAGTTACGGCTCGAGACAATCCACTTTACCTGTGGGTAAGCAGTCAATACCTGAGTAATCAGGTCGAGAAGGGAAGGTAGGCCTGTTATGCATTCGTCCAGCGCGTCGATAATCAAATATGTGCTTTGTAAAGTCGGGTCTTTCAGGATATCCGTGAAGATCCTTAAGAGAGCATTCCATGCGTTTATATCCTCGAACAATGCTTTTCCCGCCTTGTCATACTGACCCTGCACGTGGGAGAGAAGAGATGGCTGCGTCTCGACAAGCGAATATATTAATCCACGGAGAACAGCCGTGTTATTATTGATTCGCACGTCGGCGGCTTGGCAAAAAAAGAACGAGATATTCGCGGAGTCGCCAATCGATCGTGTTAACTCCTCGATGATACCGCAGAGGAGCATTGTCTTTCCTTTGCCCGGATCACCTCTGATCCAGAGAAGACGGTTGCTCTGGTTGTCTTGCCATTGTTGAAACTCCTCGTTGTCTAGAATCCAGCAGTATGAGTCTCTAAGCAGCCCTCCGTTGGTGTTCTGAATACGATCTTTATCATGATGAGGGTTAGTCGTCCGCAGATCCCGCAAGCACGCTTGATTCAAAGACGTCTCCGATTGTACTTAGGCAGTCACACCGATTAGTCGCGTTCCTTTAGACTTATGTGCTCTACTTACGGATTTGAGTAGTGATATGACCAAGGTTCTGCCCAACTTGGAGCCCAGAGTTTGTCCCATCATATGATATCGTATATGCCATTATTACACCCAGGTGGCTCTCAGAAGGGGTAGTCGCGAGCATATGTACCGGATAATGACTGGCACTCAAAACCTTTCCCTTTCCGTTTTAGTGCTCACCTCTTGCCACTTTTCGATCACTGAGTAAAACTGGGCACGCCCCTGAGTATTCTGACTTGATCACGTGCCATTACATAATCAACCTGATCTGCTCACTGAGCATCACCTGATCATCCCTGAGCACCCTGATCCACTCACTGATCATCATCTGAGCACTCTGATTTGCTCACTGAGTGCTCGCTGAGTATAGGGTTAAGCGGCATGAGCAAGCTACATCAATAAAATGCGACACGCTAATCCCATCACGTGCAACCATTCCCATGCCCATCAAAAAGGACGGGCGCAATCAACGTGACCGTTCGTCCTAGCGGTCTCGATCCTATCTAAGTAAAAAATATCACAGTGGGGCTATTTAATTGACCCGCCATTTTACTATTTCAGCCTATGTTCCTAGGAATACCCCTCGGAATACTTCGCTTACCAGTCCGGCGATCCCCTAATCGGGCTTTGGACTTAGGCCTTGACAAGTCCCGCTGATTTGGTCCCGCCTTGGCGCCAAGCCGCTAGTCTCAGTGCTGCCTTGGCATTATTATGCTGATCATCGTCCTATTTAGGTAATTTCCTAGCCTAAATAGGTATGGTCGCAGCACCACAGCACCAGAATTTATTTAGTGCTGCGGGGCCGGGACCAAAAATCGGCTGGTGCTGCGGGACTTGTCAAGGCCTACTAGAGACTTCTAGAGTAGCTATTAATAAGAATAATAACTATAATCTTAATACTACTTATATATCCTAAAACCAGCTATTAGAAGAGTTTATAAAACTAGATAATAATAAGATTATATAATATCTTATTCGTAGAATTAAGCGATAGAAACATCGAGAGACGAAGCAGCACATCTCTATGTATTATTCGCTCTCGTACGCTGTATCCTCCTTTGAGCCAAGAATGGCTAGTGCTTCACAAATGTTCTTTGACGAGCTTGATCGCCGGTTTGTGCCCACGGGAGCACAGTTCGATGTGATGCAGTGGATGAAATCTCTATCCTACGATACAATGGGCTTGATGACATTCTCCCGGCCATATGGCTACGTTCAGCATGGGAGAGACTTACACGGCATCATGGACGACGTGAACAGGACAAACCTGATTATCGGACCCGTAAGTTATACAAGACGAAGGACTTTGACAGAGAGCAAGACTCAACTATTTGCAGATGACGCAGATACCATGGCTCGATTGGCTCTTGCATAAGAACTGGGTAGCAAATCTTTTCAAACGCGAAGCCATTGCCCTCTGCTGGACTACGTCTTGGCGAGTATTTCAGAGCGTCAGGAAGAACATCGGAAAAGTGCCAAATCGCCCTCCAATGCAAACGTCGACGGACCCATTGCCGACTGTGACTTCCTCGGGTATTACCACAATGCCCAGGAGAGAAAGGATAATGTGCCACTTCGATTTGTGTCAACCTGGACTTTTGACAATATTCTTGGAGGGGCCGACTCCACGGCTTCCATGCTTCGATCTGTGGTCACCCTGACGCACTGGAAACGGTACGGGCCGAGCTGCGAGATAAGCAACGCACTGCCACCGGGCTCACTCTACCTTTCCCGCAATGGCATGAGCTGCAGAACCTCCCCTTCCTCGACGCCTGCATTAAAGAGTCACTCCGGCTTGACGCTCCATTTTGTTGATGTCTACGATGGTAGACGATGGTGTACAATGTGTAGATTGTAAGAGAGTTAATGTACAAACTAGGAAAGATGACTGACTATATAGTCTGTAACTATGGGATGGCGAGCCTGTGGCATCTGAGAGATAACAAACACATTTGCTATGCCTCTTGAACGAGTAGTTCCGGCGGAGGGAGCCACAATCTGTGGTCACTTTTACCCTGGAGGCACCGTGGTTGGCATGAGTCCATATATTACTAACCGTTATAAGCCGACATGGGGTGTTGATGCGGATCAGTGGCGTCCCAGTCGCTTGTTGGAAGGCGAACCGTCGCATACCAGAAAGCTTGAAGCCAGTCTGCTTAGTGTAAGTCACGTTTGGCCGACTTGCCGGGTACGTTCAATGTCTGATTGTACTAGTTCGGGGCCGGGACGCGAGGTTGTCTGGGCCAGCACGTCGCCCTTTTTGAAATCCATACTACTGGGTCGTATACCCAGAGAGCGTGCAGGCCACGGTCAGAAAACTTGAGTCCAAACAGTAGGTAGGACATGTCCCAGAGAAGAGCTACAAACACTGCATATCGTCAGATTTATCGAGACGCTCCTTCCCTGTCAACCGCAATTTACCCGGAAGACTTTCTCCATTGGCTCTTTCCTAGAATCGCCATTAGAAAAGACAAGACCAGATCTTAGATGCGCAGAATAGTAGACTTTGTAAACCACCAACATTCTTCAAAATGCCAGCCCCAGAACCACCAAAGTCTGTTGTCGAGTTCTTGCACGAAGTTTTTTTGGCCCCCAGTTGGAAGGCCAGGATATTACAAGCAGTTTTTTGTTTGGTCTTCTTGTTCTGTTGCAACATGACAATGACTATTGCAGAAATCGCCCGGGCTTGGGCTTTCAGGTAAAGTACACGGAAAGCCTATGTGCGCTGTCACACTGGGGATGGCTGTTTCAAGCTTCATGTGCATAATTACTGATTGATTGTCCATAGGTGGCTTGGCCCGCGCCCCCCAGCCCGACCAGTACCAGAGTGCTCCGACATCGTTGTCGTGGCCGACATACCCCCAGTGCCACCCATCCGCCGTCCGGACGCCGTTCGGAACGAACCTCAGGCGTCTGCATCTACCTCTAGCCACCTCCGACATCGCCGCCGGCGTATTAACGAGCTGCCAGCCATAACTCTCGGCCACTCTGTAACCTGCGGCTGCGAAGATTGCCGCAATCGCCGGTTTAACCGGATGATTCCGATGGAGGAAGGCCGGCCTGAATTGTAAGTAAGGAGTACACTTAAGCATTAACATGAAACAGATATAAAAGCCATTTACTTGCATTTTATAAAACATACATACCAAGGTCTGAACACGGCGAAATCCTCTATCTGAAATTGCCTGGCAATGGAAACGACTAACATTGGATCTAGAGTTCGATGAGCCGTCAATGCCGAAAGCCGAGTTTTTTCAGTGTTTCTTTACTTTTCTTTCACTTTTTCATTCACTTTTTTATTACTTTTTTATACTTTTTATTCACCTTTCTCTTACTTTTATTTTGACTTCTATGGTCCTTCTTTCATTCTTACCCTTACTTGTACATGGCGTTAAGTCCACTAGTCCAGGTTACCTTTGTACCATAGTGAGACCAATTGTGATAAGAGCCACATAAACCACGGTTAACCGTACTGGTAAACACGTTATATTTTGGGGATTGATAGTAGCTACCCGTGTATGTTATAGAGTAATATTCGGTCTAGTAAAGTATACAACCCTCGAGGAAGTAAAACCGTGGTGTAGGCGTAATCCGGACTAGAGGATGTCCTGCTATGTAGGCATCTCACTACCTAGGTAGGGTTCGTCTTTGACGATGTTGGATAATGTCACGTTTTGCTTAGTTCCCGTAGCATGGCAGTGCCCTCTCTCCTTTCATGAAGGAGAAAGAAAAGACATCAGTATTCACATCATGCGTTCTGATGTGTCTGTTTGCCGCCACTTCTGATAGATAGATAGGTTCGTTATTACGTGTGTGTCACTCAAATTTCTGTCTTAGAGAGTTGCAGAAATCTATGTATGTTCTGCTCACCACTGGCTTCAATTTTATATACCCGTCATCCTGACGATTGCTCTCATGATAATACTAGCCCACGGCCGGTTCCTTTCTTAGGCCCGGCGATTTGACTTTTAGCCGATATCCCTGGAAATGTCTCCACTGCAATTAGGACTCAACAGGTAATCTGTTAGATTTCACATCAACCTCCAATCCGAAGGTCCTTTAGCAGACCCAACATCCTAACATTCTTGAGTAAAACGATATTTCAAGATGCGCTACTACATGTGGGGTGACAAATCCGACGAAGAGCTTGATCTAGAAAGCTCTGGAGATATATGTCTTCTTCAAAGATACCGATACGCTACCTTCACCGACGAAGATAATCCACCCATATGCCCCATTAACCTAAGGGGGCTATTGCAGACAGAAGTTGCACTTCGGGAGAATACTCAACGCGAGATAGCCTTGAAAGAGAAAATAGGGCATCTCTCTAAGGAAGACACATACGTGACTGTTCTTCAGGACTTACAGGAGGAATTGTCGACACTTTCGACGGAATATTGGACCTTAGAACGACGTTGGTGGGAGATTAGGTCTTCGTATGACGACGGCCCGCTGACCAGAGGTATCGATTTCTGGCGTTCACAGCCAAAATGGTATATGCATCAAGTACTTGTGGAAGATTGCATAGGGAGAGGAGGCTGTTGTGGTAGAGACTGTGGATGCTGTTCTCATCGCCAGTCAGAACGGAAATTTGCAGTTGGTCATTGTACCGTGGAATGTTCTTGTTGCGAGAGAGCCCGGGGGTTTGCACTCGACCCTGAGCAGAAATCCCAAATCCGGGAGTCCTTCAAACTTGATTACAGATCTATCCGTGCATGGTATTACAATCGAATAAAGACCGCTTCTCTGCTAGGGTTGATGGCCGGTAGTTACGAAAACCCTTTGGATCTCATCGTTGACTTGCCGCCAAGATATGCAACTCCCTCTGAGGAATCACAAGGGAGCAACTGGAAGAACTATTTGCGGAGATCTTCACGCTAACGTTGTCCGAGAGGAAGAGCCGGTCAGCTGCTTCAGAAAGTCATACTTGCTGTTACTGTTCCCAGTTTTGTGTCGCTGTTATACTAGAAGGACGAGCTGTCCATGGATATAGTGGAGAAAGAAGGAGAAAGTGGGAGTAGGAGGTTGAAGAGATATATACCTGTCATCATTGCTCTACCTAGCTAGCTTTGCTTGCAGTGGAAAGTATAGCCACCCAATTCGATTCGACACCTCCATCGCTGCCGTAGGTGTCTCTCGCGTAGTTCCAAGGCCACATGGAGCTTACTTGAGTTCATCTCCCGTTGTTCCTCGCCCCAAAATGCCTTGGTCCCATGAGCTTGCGCAGTGAGGCCGCCATTGCGGCTAAGTCTGGATTATTCAATGAGCAGAAGCAGACAGTCTAAATGGGGGTTCGATCTCGGCGTCTTCATCATATGAGTAGTCACAGCCAAGTCACAGCCAACGCGAGCGGTGCTAGACCCAGCCAGAACACGAGATAGCCCTCGCCAACGCACTTTCGTTGTGCCGAGTCCCTCTTTTCCCACGCTCGTCTTGGCTAACTGGAGTGTGTCCAGGATTGAACGCGGCTTTGTCAGGAATGAAATGAAACGGGTTTGCGCAGGTGGCCAAAAGGCGTCCGAATCCGGGGCAGATAGCCAACGATTGAGACCATGACTACAGCCTAAAAGAAGAAGAACGTTATAAAGAGGAAGCCTGGAGACTAAAGACCAGATCATCAATATGCCACTCCCGTTTCTTGAAAAGTCGCACACATATTCTACATCGGTGTCTGCGTACAGACCGCCGCCAACACACGTTGCAATTCTCCCACCTTCTCTGGGAGCTGCGCATTGGACCCTGCACATAGGTTCTTCTTTCCCCGCATATTCTCAGCACCCTGGACCCGTCGATCAAGACCCTAGCATACCTGATGTAAATTTTGCAATTGGCACAATAACAGCTGAGCCGTCATCTTCGTTTCCGTTGTGCGGGAAATATTCAATGTCCCAACGCTGAACGGAATGGTCAATGGGACGGTATACACTGAATCTCCTGTGCCATCGACCTGTGGCGAGAGCATAAGCTGATCACCTGACCCACTGTCCGAACGATTATTGGGTTCGAGTGGCGGACGCGTGGGGTTAGCGTCCTGTTGTGCCGAAGGTGCAGAAGAGAACAGGACGCCAAGACGGGTCTTTTATGTCGGCATTGAAGGTTGGTTGACAGCGTATTGGGGCGCTAAACCCAAAAAGGCAAAACTAACCCGATGTAGTAATTCACAGGTCCGCCGTTTACAGTATGAATATATCCATGTAGATACTAAGAAAAGACTCACTACGTTGCCAATGCGACCTCGGAAACCAGAGTATGCGACATGTTTTGCTGGAGTGTCCTCTTCTGGAGGAACTACGATCGGAGATGGTGGAGGAATTGTTTAAAGAAGGGGTGTCGATAACACTTGGAGAACAAGCAATGTTGACGGAGGTGAAGGCAGCGCCGATTGTGGCAAAGTTCATGATCGCGTCGGGGCTCCTAGGACAGTTTCAGTCAGTGGACTCGGTCGCTATGGGCAAGGAGAAGGGGGAGGAGGAGGAGCAACTAGATCATCATGATCCGATCAAAATGATGATGATGATGATGATGAATTCATTGACCCGATTTAGCTCGCTTTACATACATGCTGCTATGCGGGGATTGCGTCCCAGAGCCCGCTCCCGACGACAAATGATGGCGCATCCCCAGTATACAACCACCCTGTAGACAGGACTCGAGAAATCGAGTCCTGCAACCTGAATTGTAAGGCCACAAACCGGCCGGCGTAATGCAAACAAGACAAAAGAAATTTAAACGTAAAGAAAGTCAGTCCATCTGCTCAATGCGGATGGGTCCCCGCATTCCACGGGCGCAGAGAGTCCCCTTCTCCCTGCAATGCACCTTTTACTCCTTCACTTCTTCACCTCACTTCTTCTTCATCTCTCTCTCTCTCCACTCCACCTGGCTCCCCGAGATCCGATCAAAACCAACTCAAAACAAGATACTACGAGTGCTAGAGATACAGGACGCACAACCAAGTGGCCAGGTACCAGGTCTGCCGAGGTCACCTCACAACAATACATATGGAGAACAACGTACGTTGCCGGCGAGGACGATGAAGCATGGCGTCGCGACCCGAATCTGTTCGTATACGACCTGCCGGAGTGATGTTACAGACCTGGCAGTCCTAGTGATACAGGTAGACCTCATAACCGCCCGCGAGCCGCCCTCCGAGGGCCGCCCACAGACCCGCCTTTTGCGGGCGGAGGGCAGGTTCCTCCTACCCGCAGGTCGGGCACGTCTTTTATATGCCCTCAGAGGGCCGCCCTCGAAACATTTCGAGGGCCGACAAACATAACAAACATAGAAGATCTGATAATTACATAAAGTATATAAATTAGAGCTATATTATTAAGTATTTAAGTTACAGCTTAGGATTTCAGAAAGTTACTAAATTAGTAGTAGGATAGATTTACTAAAATTTAAATAATTAGATTTAATTTTAGGATCTATACTATATTATAAAGGGCTATAGTTAAATTAATTTAATTAGATAGTACCTATATACTAGACTGCGACATCGCCCATGGACAGGCGGGTAGGCATTACCCACAGGCCTTATGTAAGCGGGAAATGGGCCCTATAGAGAGGCCCATAGACAGGCCCTACCCTTAGGGCCTATTATCTATAAGTTCTCCCCTATCCATTATCAGTTAATTGATCTCTTGGTGTTCTGTGCTTAGGAGCTAAAGATGCCAGCTTTGCTTTCTCCAAGGAATTAGCTTAAAGAATTTCGACTAGACTCTGGGCTTCTATATAATACTTATTTATTTATCCAGAAACATAAATTGTCGAGTCTAAATATATTCCTTGTATATGGTATAAATGCAGACAGATATATCGCTTTATAGAAGACAAAAGGAGATAATACCCTGAAACAGACGGAGTTCTCCGCTCTATCCTACGCCCCTTGGTTATAACGTATTTTCTTAGTGAGATATAGTGCTTAAAAAAATAAGGGCAGCAGTAATACTATCAACGAACTAACTATCACAGTATAAATGGCCCTATATGGGGGCTAATCCTTTCTAGGTATAGTCTGCGGCGGGCTGAGTGTGTCAGTGTTGCTCACTGATTGGACACTGAGCATCATTGAGCATCAGTGATTATACATATGACTGATCTGAGCATGATCACTGATCTGAACCCGTGCTGACATCTACTCAGTGAGCCTAAGCCTAAGCACCCTTATAAAAGCAGCGGTAGCTCAAATAGGAAAACCCTACCCGC